TTGCGCTCTTCGTAGTTTTGACCCCATGAAGCGGGACCATTTGAACTTTTTTTAAATAATTAATATATCATTTTCACTTGTAATACTACACAAACAACATAATTGCAAGGTTAAATTATCAGAGTAAAACCAAAAGCTATATAATGACGTCAATGTCAGCTATCAGTCGTCATCGTTAACAAATATAGATTATAAACAAAACAGTGTCACCTCAAGATAGAGAAATATGTATGATATATAATACAATATTTACAACTAGGCAGGTTCAACATACACACAACTTGACATCGAGGATATTTTTTTAACAACAAACAATAAAAAGAAACCACCTGTGTGTGTGAAGACAGCTGATATATTTTACCCTTTAATGAATCTAAGCCAAAACTACTAGAAGGTAACACCAAAGAAATTAGTTCTACATTTAGAAAAAATGCTAATGTTATAAGAAAAGAAGAGTAAAAAAGAAGTATTTAAGACATCCTGCTGTCGTCAAAGGTTATAGTGACGATGAAGGATATTCTTCTTCTACAGCAGCTAATATCCTGAAGAAAAATGTCATAATTGTACAATGTAAGTTGTAGTTTTAGCAAAGCGGAGAAAGCAATTGAAACAAGTCGACAATAGAAACAATTCTGAAAAGGGGAAGATTTGAATTACAGAAGTGGTCATCAAAAAATGCTATAGTATAGTATATAAAAGTAGATCAAAAAAAATTACAAAAAAATCTTCATATTTATGGAACTGTTAAAGCACTTATTTATTAAACTTTTGTAGAATAATTTTTGAAAAATCTCATAAAAGGATCACAGTTTCAGATTTTCAGAAATTGTATGATCTATTGTTCTCAATATCACCTGCAACTGTAAGTGGTAAAACATTAATTTAAAAACTATGGTTTGAGAAATCTGGATGGGATGATGAAGTAAGTAATATAAAAATTATATAACAACTCAATGGTGTATCAATTTAACTAAACAAACTAATGTGGAGCTCTATGGATTTTGTAATATTTTAACAGTGCCATTTCGAATTCTAGCTAGAACAAGAGGCAATATCATTGGCGAGGCTGGATCTTTGCTGAGCCCTACACCTGTCACCACTATTGAATCAAGCATCATAAGTAATGTGTGTGCCTGCTTATAAGAGTGTGTGTTGCTTGGTGTGACTAAGTTATAGTCTTTATCTGGCTTTTTGAAAAACCTTAAGGGTGGGAACTGTAAAATTGTCTATGCACTTTCAATCCTTATTCAGATCAAAAAGAAGTGCTGAAAGTGGGTGGCCGTCTATGGCACTCCAAGCAACTAAAATTCCAATAATTCTTGGTCACAATATTAAAACTAGTGCCTCTTATGTATAATATCTGTGTATGACAAGAAATATTAATGAAAGTTTTATTTGTGTTCAATTTAATGCAGAGAAAAAAACAATAAATAAATAAATAAAAATCGTGGAGTAGACTATGCTGGGTCTTTTCTAATAATAGCATAATATGTAATATATTCATGCCAACAAGACATCCATATTGTACTTGTTGGAGTAGCATTCAGCTATTTGCAAGCTCGGATGAATGCTTCTCCACTGTCTCTGCTCTGACATTTGTAGTGATCTAGGTAAAAATCCTGTCTAACAAGGACAAATGACAAGCATTGCAAGAAGTAAAGTTTCAAATAAAGGAAATAATAATTATCATTTACAATTGTTTGGCTTCAACAATGTCTGTAGTGGCTTAAGAAAGAACAAGGATTCCCAATTGCTGGCATAGTTCTTTTTAAATCAGACAATTAAAAATTATCATTAGAATGCAATGTGGATAAACATAAAACGTCCAAATGTGCTGATAGTATGACAAGACTCGAGTATTAGAAGTGGAAAACCTCAACAAAACATTCTTTATCAGAACTGTCTAATGCCTTTCGATTTAGGAGGATGTAAATAAATAACTTCCCAAATTTATATATATTTTCATGCATAATTAATAATTAAGATCTATTTTTGTTTTAACTTAATTTTATACATACCAAAATTATCTTTTTAGGTTGCAACCTTATGTCATGTACCTACAAATAATAAATTGTTGTTTGATGTTTAATCTGTTATGTTACTTGAATAAATAAATCGGTAATAATCAACGAGTGGGCCCGGTCCTGACCGAGTCCAACATTTTCCTAACCGATTTATAACTTTTCTGATACATGTTAGATATTATCTTGAAACCTAGATATGAAATATATATATATATATACATATACTAGCTGACCCGGCAAACGTTGTTTTGCCATATAAATAAATTCAGGGGATGAAAAATGATTAGATTACTAAAATGGCTATTAAAAAATAAAGGTTGATCGTAAAAGGGTGAAAATTGATGATTGTATGTTGTATCATAAAAAAATAGGGGTGGACTACTACTAACATTTAGGGGGATGAAAAATAAATGTTGGCCGATTATCATAGATACCGGATAAGCACAAAAAATTTCATAAAAATCGGTCAAGCCGTTTCGGAGGAGTATGGCAACGAAAACTGAGACACGAGAATTTTATATATTAGATATATAAATATAATTTCCAGTACAAGAATTTACACTAAAATACACTGATTGAAGATGAACGGTAAATCACACATCTACAGACACATTTTTATCTATTACTAATCTTTTAAAGCTTATTTTACAGAATATAATAAGTAGGAGAAAGCGTAGTTGGTAGGTATATCAAAATTAAATCAGTCTGCCCTCAATCAATCAATGCACATAATACGACTTAGTGGTAACTTCTGCTTATTTTCAATTTCCCGTGCTGCATACTTCATATTATTTGTATGTCAATTGCTTTAAATTGAATAACCAACTTTGCAACTTATACTTGTTTATCGTTATTCATTGTAAAGCCCAAATAGTCTTCAAAATTATGTTGGTTACTACTAAATTTAGAGTTCTATAAGAAATTACTGACGGACTTTGGTTAACGATTTGAAATTTATACCTCTGAAAGTTTATTATCTGTACATTAAGCGATTTGCATCAATTGTGTAAAAGTGAAAATTAGATATTCCAAACAACTTGAAAAGGTTTAAAACGTGCATTGAACTATTTTCTTTTTTGAACTGTTGAGTTGCTACGATTCAAACTGGACTAGACCCTATATGTAAGTCGTTTTTGGGGATGCACATTCATTTACTCAAAACACTTTAACGGTTCAAAACGCGATATATATATTAGTTAGACTTTAAGCCATTAACGTGTTTTATTTAAAACATTTTACTTACGGTTGAAAACGATAGCTTAACTATTTATTATATTAGAATTGAACGCGCCTGATCACAATATAATGCAATAACACACGCACTCACATTTGCTTTTTTAAGATGGAGGAGGACAGACAAGCACGGGGTTCAGTCGATGGTGGGCGAAATAGCCCAGCAGTAAGGAATGTGAGACCCGGTGGGGATCGACCCACGACACTTTTTAGAAAGTTGTTCCTAAGTAAAAGTAGATCATAAACGGATTAAACAGTAAAATACTAATGATAGTGAACATAAGTATAAATAAAATGAAGACCAAAAATCGGTTGCCGATTTTACTTTACACTAATGGCTTCTTTAACAGAGTTAACTATTCTAGTATTTACACTACGACTAGGAAAAGCCAAAAACAGTTCTTGAACTGTCCTACGACCAAGCGATTTAGTGTACAAATTGATGAACAGTTTTTCCCCGTTTTCTTCTCAATTTCTCTGTTTCTTCGCCTCCATAGGACGCCTTTGGCGATAAATGGTCTCGTAGTACAAAAAATATTTATTTTTCAATTCGAACCAAAACTAGTTCTTGAGATTGACGCGTTCAAAGAAACAAACGACCTCTTTAGCTTTATAATGTTAATTAGACCATAACTTCATGTTTACTTGCGATGGTAGAATATAAACAAGTACCTACATTAACGAAATGGAACGAAGTCATGATGAAATGAACCTAATTCTGTTTAAGTACATTTTTATTATTTTTATTTTAAGTACAACTTAACAGCATGCTCTGACCGACTATATAGCCCACATCACGAAACGCTGCGGATGTCGCTTCGAGTCCCGCCTGTCTAGTGTCTTACTAGATTCAAAGTGATGAATTTTCTTGCAGAGCCAATGCTTCCGTTTTGTTGTATATCAAATCAATCAGGTCGTACCTGTTCCGTCCGCATCCTTCGATTTTTTTATCATTCATAATTTAAGCGTCTTATAAAATCTTAACTTAAAAAATCCTTTTCTTATTACCGAGTCCCAAATGTATCGGAATTAGCCGAGTGCGTAGTAATGCCAGCTCTCGAAACACTCGCGATCGGGGTTCGAGGAGGTATCGGCGCGACACATTAGCGCATTGTGCGCTCCTCGGCCCATTGTTCGCCGATCTCGACGGTGAGTGCTCTCGCATTGTGCCACGAGCCGGGGCCCACCCGCGCCGCGACGAGAGGCGGCCGATTAATGGTTTTCAATCGTTCGTAATTGTTTTAAACGTTCCGCGATCGATTCCCGACCCCGCCTTATCGAGTTTGAGGTATCGCATTCGAGCCGCGGATCGCGTTCGGCGGAAGCGGTTCGTGCGATCGATACGGGCGAAGAATTAGCGGAGCCTAAATGGAAAATGACGGGCGTCGCCTAATGGACGGAGCGAGCGCGCCATTAACCACTCGGTATCGAAAGTCTCTCGACGAACGGAACGAGCGGCGAAGCGCGAGCCTGCCGCGCGACGTCAGAGGCGAGGCCGAGGGTAGAAATATAATTAGCTAGTTCCGTGTCGCGGGTATTCTCGCGCGAAACACGATAATTGCGGAGGGAGAAACTCTACCGCTATTAGGGTTCCCTCCTCCCGTACGTACTATTTTATAATATTTAAGATTTAAAAAATGGGAACAGTCACCTCGTCGAATACTGCGCGCTAAAGAGTTCAAAGAGCGGAGTATCCGAGTGACGCGTCGCTTCGGCTAATGACGATGCGTGCGGAGACGTTAAATGAGTCGGAACGAATCCGCTCTCGACTCAAAGAGACTCGCTCCGCGCTCATTTCCGCCGATTAGCGGCCGAAGGAACATCGCTAATGGGCCGGCTATTATTTCATTTTCCGGCTTCGAGAAAATTGCCTTAATTCGCGGCCGCACGACGCTTTGTCTGCGCCTCGCGAACAACGAAGCTAAAACCCCAGGCTCAGTGCCGAGTCGTTCGACTCGCGCCACTGAGCCTGTAGCATCTGCGGACCATAACTATGAGTAAATGAATGGGTTCCGAACAGTATCCACGCTATTGTTGGAGTCAATTATGGTAAAATACTAGCTTTCTCCCACACTTGGGCATATTTTTAATCAGTTCACCTTTTGGCGTTTGTTCCTCTCTCGGAACGCTCTTCTACGAAATAGATTCAAAAGCGATTCAAAAGCACCTAACGCATCGGAGGCAGTTCCGTACGTCGACTTGTCGATTATTAGCTAAACATTCCTACTATTAGACCAACGAACATACACAAACATAAACAATACGCAATGTAACAAGTACCGTTTAAAGGTTTGCGTTTGACAAATTAGGGAAATGACATTTAAAGCGATTAGGCTCTTTGAGGACGAGCTCCCTTCCCTTGAAATTAATCACAATAACATGAATTATCTTTTTATTGTATAATTTAATTTTTCATGTTGACTTTTGATTGTTTACTAAAATTATCTTTTTAAGCCGTCTTTGCACAAACATGTTTTATTTTGTACATATTATAATTCTAAGTATCTTTGTTCTTATGTCTATGTTTGTGCAATAAAGAGTTTTTATTATTATTATGAATTAAGTTTTTATTAAATGGGTAGTAGAATATCGAAATTCCACAAATTAAAAAGCCTTGAAGTTTATTCACGTTTCGGTTCCGATCCGATTTCCAAATATCCAAAGCCAACGTCTGTCCTCCTCTATCTTAACAACAAATTGTTACATGGACGCTGAGCTTTTGGATCAAGGAGAGGTGGACTATAAGACTAGACGTCTGCCGTTACCCCATACGTTAATCTAAGTAGGGTTTACCAACGATGGAAGAAGTAAAGGCACAGAATGCTGTGAGCGTACCTACTCAAACAAATCTCGGCGGCATCCATGCTGTTGGGGCCTACGCTCTAAGCAACGGATTCTCTAGAAGTATGTTTATGATGTACTGAACCGATATAAATATCAATTAAGTACCAGATAGGTATTCTAGTATCGTATAAGCACTAAATAGAAAACTCTTGGAAAATAAAAAACTGCTTTCTTGAAAACTACAAAATTAGTTAGAAGAAGCCTAGCTATCTAATTGCTTGTTTTTATTTATAATATTACTTACGTTATGTACATCTCGTCACGCAGCAACGACAGGCTGGACAGCGGAGTGTCAATTACGTGGTCCAGAGGAAATAGTCAAATGTAGACAACGTGAAACCATATATCATAGTTATTTGAAGATAACGGTGATACTGGTTTATTAACAACCTAGGAAGTAATCGAATTGAAGAAAAGGAGTTGTGCATCTTAGCGAAGAGTCATTGCAGCGAACCTGCAACTCCGCACGACACCCATCAGCGCTCCGCCAATGGGCCACCGGGGGTGGAGTCCCAGAGGGAGACGGCGCCGCGAGAGCGACAGAGACGCTATAGGGTCCTGTCGAGGCGGGACCCGCAACAAACTCGCCGTGCGGAGCTCAGTCAAAGTTAGACAAAAGTTCCCGGGGCTCACACGTCCACCGCGAAACCTCGATTGCAGTCTACGTTACGCGGCACCCGTCCCGAACGAACAGGCCGAAGGTTCCGACATCATTCACAAGGTTCGAACCTCCCTCGAAAAGGAAGCTAAGTTGACTTCGTCAGCTAAAAATTATGTAAACATTTCCAATTAAACTCTGCAACTGGCGATGTGCGGCTCAGTAAAAACGTGAATGTGCAGTGCGAGTGAGTACGAGTCAAGGCGAGTCGAGATGTCGAGTGCAAGACGCGGCGTGGCCTACACCATCGACAGCATCCTCGGTCATCACCACCTCAGCTCTGGTACGTACTGGTACTGGTACGGCTTCCAATGTGCGCACACACGCGACCTACCACAAAAAGTACAAAAAAATTCATACAATTTACGAAGAAAAATTACGATAAGTTTCACCCGTAACAGTACTCATAGAATACTCTAAATACAAATGACAAAATGCAATGCGATGCAAATGCCGACACAAGCATTCACAACTTAAAGGGACCTCGTTGTAACCCATCGTTGTCGCTTGTGTGTTACCGGCGCATATTATTTCACGTTTAGCCCAAGAATAATGATAGATGGGCGACGTAGTATGTATTCTCGTTCTTCGATATGGCAAGAATAGAGGCGTGAAAAACACTGGCGTCATCTCACCCCCTAAAAGAGACTTTATCCGCCGAATGACGTTTTTAATCACGGTAATAATCGGCCACAGTCCCTTCCAAATAATAGCTGCGAGACGTAGCTTAATAAGTTGCAATTTTTGATTCCTCTCTGAATGCCCACTCGACTCCCCGCGGCCTCGTTATGCGGGATTTTTGAATTATATTAGTCAAAGTACAGCGCGCGAGATTCGGCCCTACGGCGACGGAATACGAGGCAGAATGGGGCGGCCGTTAGACAAAAGGTAAACGAGACGTATAATAGTGCACGGTAGGATGGCCGCTAATGGGCCGATAATAGCCCGTATTAGCGATATTGTGTTAGCGGATTGTGTGCAAACTCTGCGTCGAGCTCGGAGATGGGCTACGCGCGTGACCTGTAGCGCTCGCCGTAGCTCCGTAGCGAGGGTCAAATGGTCTCAACGACAAACGTTTAAATTGACGTGCAGGTTTCTATTATTATCCATAAACGAATAAAGATTTAAAGACAAGAAGACAGTACAAAGGAGTCGAGACAAAATATGCAGAAAATGTACAATGTATAAACCCACAGTCATAAGTACAGAGTAGATTAATTTAATGCATTTACATACGCTTTGACCCGTTATCGGTCTGACTGACTTTTATTATGATATATTTATAATGTTAAATTTAAAAAAAAATAGTAATATTGATATTATTAAATTTTTACTTTAGAGTTATAAAACTCTAACAAATAATTATTAATAAGTAATGCATTAATTTACCATAAAAACGGCTCTTGCGAGTTCATTTTAAAAGACCGTATGTACCTATTGTCGTGGACATTTTATGTCATTAAAGAAATAATTATTCCTTCGTACATTTGTTTGTTTTTTTTTGAACAGTTTTATCCTTAAGGGAAGAGAGAAGTCCTCAAAATTGAATAGTTTTATACTGTTTCTTCTCGTACAGGAGAGAAGTTTAACACTATAAGTACATATCTGTAAACGTGTCAAAGATCCCGAATAAGATGTCATCGAAGAGTTTATTTAGATTTATCACAGATTGAGTTTTGATATTCAGGACGAGCCCTCCAAACATAACTAATTTCAACCCTCGTCGAAGTAAATTAAGAATAGAGATGAAAAATCAATCTCGCCCATAAAGTGCAGCATCAATGCGATGTTTATCTCCTAATCCAGACGGAAGCGGTCCAATAGTAAAAGTCGACTTTGCATCCATGAGCAAAAGGGCCAATGTTACTTTGATGCGCGTTAAAATACCCGAATTAGAATACGCTTTTTATAAGGCACTTAGCGTCAGTCGACATTAGCCGCGCTATTTATTTGTAATAGTATTGTTGTAATCGTTGCGAGGAATTAGTGTCGTACCTGCAGGCGGATTACGAATTTACTATCGCACGGTCGAGAGGGGAGATCGTTCCCATTATTCGTTTGAACTTCATTTCGAAACGTGCGACCCGCTCGTTTAACTCGTCACAGTGAGCTCAGACAAACGAACGAATTATGCAAATGCGGAGTAAACATTTTCTTACATTGAACGAGGTCCTTCTTCCGCGTCAGTGGCAGTAAACACATCGCAGTTCACGTTCCTATATAATCTTTCCGGCGTAAGAGGATCGATGCCGCTCCGAAGTCTTCTGCGGGCATAAGTGCCTAAACTGAGAGCAACATGTAACGAGCGACACGTCGAGTGGCAATTTGACGGGATCACGTTCGCATCGCAACATGTCGCTAATTCACCGGAGCGCAGCTCGCATCGAAGTATTACGTTCTTTTGTACACATCGTCGTAATATTTAAGAAAAGGATTTCGTATTCGTAGGATCGTAAAGTGTGAACAATCTTACACTTATTTAACAGCAGGACACGTAGAAAATTCAAACCGCGTCCGCTCGACCGATGATTTACATCGTTTCTCTAAATATAATAATTGTGTTCCATGTTTCACTTTTTTCGATCAGATGGCGTAGAAATGAAAAGCGAGAGCGTGCACTCGGACTCCGACCACGAGCACGAACCCGAGCAGGAACACGAGCCGGGCCCGGAGCCAGAGCTCGAGGCGAGCGTCGAGCGTGCGGACCATCTCGAGCTGGACGCCAACCGCCCGCGCAAGGTAACTTGCTGTACGCGAAGCGCTCTTTTATAAGTGAACAACAGAACTGACAAAAGATACTACGTCTCCGAAACGTAGGGTGAGTGTTGACGCGAATAACGGTGAGTTGTGGTGTGGTAAGCAGGTGCGCCGCAGCCGGACGACGTTCACCACGTACCAACTGCACGAGCTGGAGCGAGCCTTCGACAAGACGCAGTACCCCGACGTGTTCACGAGGGAGGAGCTCGCGATGCGGCTCGACCTCAGCGAGGCGAGGGTGCAGGTAACGAGGCGAATCGAAAACCCGCCATACAAGTAATTCGGCATTATTAGCAATAAGGAATGCGCGCCGAGTAATCGCCCTCGCCGTGAAGTGAGTAATTGCATAATTCGCGTTATTAGCGAGAGCGGAGGCTCGGCGCGCCTCGAGTCGCGTATCGGCGCAGTGGCATCGTTCATTCGATTGGGTCCCGGCCCCCGTTCATGCCACAATGCGGGCAATCGCGAGCGGTCAGATGGAAATGTCTAATTTGAATTTGAGCGGAATTGGCCGGGCGGGCTCGTCGTTAGCGGTCAGTCGAGGCGACAATTAAAATCAGCCGCATTGTGCGCGCACCGCAGCCGGCGCCCGTCGCCGTCCGCGAAGGAGAGCGATCGGAGCGCGCCTCGCAGTCGACAATGGCCGCTAATTCCGCTAATTATCCTCTCGCGTCGACGGCGCTAATGTTTTCCCGCCCCCACCCGCCTCGCCCCCGCCGCACTGAATCTCGTAATCGCGCACAATTTCATAAATGACTTAATTATGCGCCGCAGTTTACGTTAAACGCCTAACTAGTCGAATAGAAACGACGCTCTTCGAGCGCGACTCGGGCGAACCCCGCGCGCCCTCTCGTCGCTCGCACCGCCAGGTGATCAGCGCCGACGCTTCGCAGCTCGAGGGCCTCTGATGAATCCCATTCATACGTCGACGACTCTTCTCGCAGATCCGTCCTCGGCCTTTTGTGTGCGGCTTTCGACGAGTCGTCTTCGCTCCTCGGATGCCGTCGAGGACGTACGACTTAAAGCTTCGATTATTCGGAATATTATAATTCGGGCTCTAGAACAGTCGTCGAGAGAGACTAACAATAGTTTAATTAAGCGCGGTATGAGCGTCGAGGGCTCTCGACCGCCGTAAAGCGCCGCCGCAATTCGGTAATTACCCCGCTCCCTAGTACTGCACTCGACGCGACGGCCTCGACGACGTCTCGGCCCTCGTGCGTCTGCATCGCTATCGTTACTGTTTAGAAACGCACGATGAACATATAGAGAGTCGTAAACGACAAATCGCTTTGCTCGTGAAGAGACACGACGAGGAATTCCCTACGCGCTGGAAGCCGCCGAACCGAGACGAGGACTTAATTACAGTTTCGGCGAATAATCCGCATCGCATCCGCGGAGGGCTCTCGTTTCAGTTTTAAATATTGTCTTTCGGAGAATCCTGCGCCCTTCCACATCGCACTCGAAGCTGCAAATTGTTTTTAATCCACTCGAAAGACGGCGTTCGCCGACAAACGCGTCTCGAGCCCCTTCGCGGAGAATCGCTCGATTCAATCGAGGCCTTATCGCGTCGGAGTGAGCTCCACCGCCGTCCGCCGCCCTTCGCCCGAGAGGGAATTACGAGCCAATCGAGATGTATTACGGAGCCTCGAGTGATCGGCGACACTCGCGGTACTAGACCGCTCAGCGAGCCGGATCGTTTTAATTCTTCGTTCAATTAAAGCTCGTTCGCTCGCGTTCACCGCGCTCGCCGAAGCGAGTGCCGCTAACGACTCGAGATTTTTGTCTAATCAATGTCTGTTTGAAATTATGAAATGGGCATTTTGCCTTTCGCCGGTTACGATGTCCTTTTATTAGCGCAACGCGAGGCGACCGGCGCAATTTGCTTCTATTCTCTGAACGGGCGGTAACAAAGTGAAGCGTCAGCCGCGGGCTTAGGGTGCAGTTCGGCTGACGGCTCTCGGCGCGCGAAAACCACGTATGCGTAATTGCTTTTCATTACGGCCCCATTGTAGTGGAGAGCGAGCGGCAAATTGGCGACAATTATGCGATAAAAAAATTAAAAGCGGTCTGCCCGAGACACGTCGCCGAACGTGAGCCGACGCCCGCGAAGTTTCCATTCGACTGTGTCTTTTCCAGGTCTGGTTTCAAAATCGGCGAGCAAAGTGGCGCAAGAGGGAAAAGGCCCTCGGGAGGGACCATGCCCCGTTTCTGCACCACGAGCACGGTGAGTTATTCCAACTTTGAACAACAGCGGCCCCTTCCAGAGATCGATTTAACGATTCGAAATGTTCCTAATTATTTCTCCATTTCCTCGACACGTTTTGTGTCCGTTTACCGTTCGGCCTCGTTAACGGGTGCGAGCCATTATTATAAAGCCATTAATTGGGACGATATTGGGTGATAGAGCGTAATTACCGCACCATCGACATCGGTGACACCTCACATAAATCACAGGAAAAAAATCTGATCTTATCTTTTTATTAAGCCCACAGAAGTAAAGCGAATCGCTAACGAAACTGGTAAAATATATTTAACATTAAAAAGCTAAATACGTAATCGCAGTTTTAGCCGTGTATTTAAAAACACGACAAATGTAATGACCGGCCAGAGGACAGGTGTCGCCGAGTAGATAAGCGATAGCTGATAACCGGCAACCGCCACTCGCGGTCATAAAGAGCCCTGTTCTATTATCTACGGCAGAGGGTGAAGAGCTCATTGTAATCTTCGTCGTGTGTGCAGGTGTCGGCGTGGATTGGAGCGGCGTGTCGGGGGCGGTGGGGGGCGCCGGCGAGTGGTGGTCTCTGGGCTTGGGCGCCTTGCCCCCCGCTCCGCTGTGGCACGAGCCCGCTTTCACCGCGCTGCTGCACCGCTACGTGCTCCGGCTGCCGCCGCCGCCCGCCCGTTCGCCGGCTCCGCGCTCGCCGTCTCCGCTCCGCTCCCCGCAACGCTCGCCGCTCCGCTCCAGTGCGGCGGGCGCGAGCGTGGCTTCGTCGCCCGTGACGCCGGATGCGCTCAGGCTTTTACACGAGAGATACAGCCGAGTGCACACGTAACACGATTCGCTACGAGACGATTTCGACTTCCTATGAATCGTCTCTCGTCCCAACAGTGTCATATACGTGTGAAAATAATGACCACAAAGTATTATTAGAGTCGATTTACGTTCCCTCACGTTGCGTGTGCCTTAATAAAGTATAAAACTTTTGTTCCGATAAGATCTCATTAATCGTTTATATTTCAATGGAATAGTACGACTGCTTCTATTTGAAAGGTGACATGCGGCGAAGACACAATTATTATTCTACATAACTGTACATAGTATTATCTGTAAGCTATTCTTTAATAATTGTTTTATTGTAAATATTGTAATTTTCATAGGTATGAGCATAGTATTAGGATTCACTTATTTGTGATTATAAAAACAACACATATTTGAGATTGAGAAAAAAGAACAATTATAAGCGCGGGCCTAGAATCCACGCCTACCGAGATTTAAGTAATATGCACAAAATTATACTTTGTCAACAATTGCATCGGTGGGGTCAAATTCATGTGGAATTATATATTAATCATTTTTGTTTGTAATTTTTGTCGGGTCGTAAGAGAGTCATTTTATTCTCATTCTTTTACTTGCCTTTTAAATTAATCGGTTTATACATTTTGGACATATTATTTCAATACACAATTACAAATCGACGTCCTGGATATACTATAGAACGAACATCTAGACTTTAATTTGTAATATATTAATTACGTTTCAATGTTACTATTAGTTTTAGACTTACGATTAATTTATTTGTAATAGTAGATACCTCCGTAGCGGGTTTGCAATAAAAGTGTAGTTCTTTCAATAATACATTAGATGAAAACTGCATTTGGTTTTTTATTCAACTCCTACCAACGCAGAGCTTTCTGCGACTGACCGCTTCTCAGTTCAAATAGACGCACGATTAACGCGCGATTCCCGGCGCGCCATTGTCTAGTTGCCGAGTGAGTGCTTCAGTCACCGATTATTAAATTTGCATCTCCGTCTCGCAGAATGGAGTGTTTGAAGAAAGATTAATTTGGGAAAAATTGGGCGCATTTCGGCTTACGCGGAGGGTACGCGTAAGAGACCGCTACGCCGCTACGAGTGCGCTACGATAGCGCCCAATTGCCTTATTTAGACGTAGAAGTTAATAAAATCTAAATCTTCCGGAAAGTATAAGAGGAAGAAAGTCTTATAAAGAATTTAAGTAGGAAACAACATTAAAGTTGTAATTAAATTTCCCGGATGCAGCGCGCGGGGGTACGCCTCCCGCCGCTGCCGGCTGGGCGGAGGGCGGGAGCCGGAGGATGTAATTGGCCGCCACGATAACCTTCGCCGATTAACTGCTTAGCGTATTAGCTCGCTCGCTAGCCGTCGACCTGGCTCGGACGCAACTTTTGCGATACGGCTCGAAGAGGGATGGAAAAAAATTACAAAGATCTCCCCTAGCTCATAAAATAAGTCTGGGCAGATGTTAACGGCAAGCACGCCAACGAGATAAACGCTAAAACGAAAGTCTCGAACAAAAGGAGCAGGGGGAAGGGGTAAGGGGGCCCTAATGAGGTGATGTCATTGTTTATAGCGATTAAAGCGCTCCGTGTCAAACGCAGCCACGACATTGTGTGCTTCGGTCGGGAACCGGCCATTGTTCGCCGATATTTCATTTCCTGCTAATCTCTAATGAGGTTTATGCTGTTCATGCGAAAACTATTCGCCTCTTTGAGCCTCCATACGTATCGGGATTATCACAGCTCTGAGTAGTTACAAATAATTAAACGATTATCGTGCACCGAAATTATTTATACGCAACGGTTAAAACAGTTGTGCGTCTGGCGTCTACACTTCCTCTTTTCTCTTAAAGAGGAAGTGTCTAATAAACCAATTCTCGGTTGTATATATTCTACAAAACAACGTATGCCGCAGAGGAGAAGCCAAGGGGCGGCGCGAGTTTATTAAAGCGAAAGCAATAACGACTCCCTTCGAGATGACACAGGCGAAACGAATCCGCGACGCAAACATACTAATATGTAGTGAAATAAGGTTAATCTGAGACTCATAAAGCTCGCCAGCCACTGAATAAACTAATAAATGTAACCGCTCCGGGCTCTAGGGCTGCCTACGAACGTTCTATTTATCTTTCACGACTTTGCCCCTAAAAACTAAACCTTTGTTATGCCATTCGTCTTATAAATTGAAAACAATTTTGAATCGAAGTTTTCACTTTAAACGTTTTGTCGCACAGTGAATGCATACCGATATAGACAAGGGCGAACGCGACTGAGGCAGCCCTGAGGGAGCACCGGGCGAAAGTCGCGCTCCACGCTCGGGCAGATGAAATTATCCTTGTTTCAACGGCTTATGAGCGGAATCAATAGACGATGATCGCAATAAAAGCTTCAGATGTTTGCCCCCTCTACCCCTCACCGGCGGCGCCGCCCCGCCCCCGCCTCTGCTCACCAATTTGGCCGATATTAAGTTTATACAGCGATTTGTACCCTTCTTTACAACGGAGTTAATGCGTGGCGGACACTGGGCAATAAATTCACGTTGCATTTATTCGAAACGCAATTTGGAGTAGCGTTTGTTGTACTTGCGTTACTACATGAATACCGAAGTAGAAAGCGTAGAATCGGGCCGGGTGTCATCGTTCATGACCGTAAATGGAGCATTTCTACTCGTCAGCAAATTATTGCGAACCTTAATGGTGCGTGACTCGTGCAGCTCGTGGGCGACGAGGTTAACGTCGGGCGTCGTTTACCGAACATCATCGACGACTGACGAGTTATTGCTAGATCAGAGGTCTCTCTCCTCTCCATTCCTAATCCTTTGATATTAGATTACCTGCTTCATATCTTGCTTTAGTTAGTAGATGTGTTTTTTACTTTTTATTATGTTTGTTAAAAAATAATTTAAAGTAGACCATCTCTCATCGATATAAATAAATTAAATTTAAACAAAACGCAGCTTTCTATGCAACGTCATCATTATCAGATTCCTAATTACATTACAAATTGTTTAAGTATTAAGTCTTCTCAATACAAATAAGTTAAGTTTAAACTACTTTAGATCATAGAAGAGTTTCATTGACTATCTCTCGGCTCCATCATCAGACCTACACCAAATATTTATCAACTTGCAGTAGTAAACTTACAAACGTGCCAGTCGTAAGTACGAATATTTTTATTTCCCTCGCTTTGAACTGTGATCATCACGCCTGATTTTATAATGAGACTACCCCCTACCTATATTTACTCACGAACTACAATATAATCATCAAAATCGGATTAAAAACAAACGAACGCAGTTATGTGCGAACAAGTAAGTATAAGAAAGCGTATACAAACATTTGACATCGATTTATAACCGAGATAAATAATAATAATACATATTATCTTCGCCTATTACGCCTATGATCTTCGCCTGAATCTACGCCTGTGAATTAATAAGTATTCTGGTTATACTCAAATTATTAGCTTATTTTATGAATACACCCTCGATATTTATATTTTTACGGATACCTAATAACATTATAATCATTTAAATAAAACACTTTAACGGTTTAAAACGCGATATATTAGTTAAACTTATTTGAAAATGATTTTTAACTTCGGCCCGACGTTTCGGATGCTTTGCAGCAGCCGTGGTCTCCCCGTGACCACGGCTGCTGCAAAGTGTACTACTCGCGTAAACTATAGACAGTATTTACATTATAATCACCTTAAATAGTATTTACATGATTTACAGGTCCATGATATAACAAACTCATTGCCAGGACCATTTATGTAACCAGAATTGCATCGTTAATAGTAAACATTTAGTTAATCTAAGCTAGACTTTTTACTCTAGCTTAGATTTTTTATGTGCACGATATAAAAATACAAATATTGTTATTATTATTTAATTGGATTCAAAATATAAACACAAACTATTAAATCGCCCATTGCTCTCCATTCTAGTATATAAGTTTAATTTGTAATATTTTTATGTTTTGAGCAATAAAGCAAAAAATACTAAATAACGCAATTTACTAAATCACGTACAATGGTATTGTAGTTACCTACCTAAGACAGTTGCTGGCAACACAGCACGTCATGTTAATTGTTACCAACGGTTTTTGTCAGTTTTTGACAATATTGTTATCAAACAATTGTAACGTGCATACGGTTCGTTTTGTTTTTGTCAAGATTAAAATGTATAAAGTATTTAAACATATAATTACTTTGGCTGTGAGTTAAAGATTTATTGAGAACAAACGACTTGACATGCGGATTACATAACATTAAACGGATTTATGAACTACAATGGACGTTGAACATGTATTTTGTGTGAATTGTGCGAAGGCTTGGTGTAAGAAGACGAGCATATTTGTTACCAAATACAGCAATGGATTGCTCTATGATAGGACTTATCAATAATAACTAGTCAACATGTCCTTTTTTGTCCTTGCGCCGGAATTGTTTAAAAGCTTGCGCCTGACCGTCATCGCCGCCATCGAATTGACATTTTGATTTCCTTACCCTCTTCAACATAACAGGTATGTCGAGAGAAGAGACCCCAGCCCCCGAAAAACCTCGGAGCCATGGCCGAATCTAAGTATGTTTACTTATACATATTGTCCAGTGTAAACTAAACAATAGTCTGAATAAAATGAATAAATGAAAATTTTTGTTTGTAACTTTTTCAGGTTTGACCCCGTAATTTCATTTGCACAGTTTGTTAGGCAGAAGCTAGGAAAGCAGTTCATGTTTTTTATGTAAGGCAAACAAGTGCCCTTTGCCAAGTTCCATTGCCGCCTTGGACATGTGCATACCCAACATCATTTGAAAATAAAAAAAATGCAATGAAAAGGCTCATGCTGTTAGAGGTACTCATTCTATAAACAAGTACAGCATGAAAAATACATTTTAATGACTATGTAATTTTAACCTCAATATATTTCACTTGCAGGTTAGTATGTAACAACATATTATTGGCGCAGAACCATTGGTTGCTGTGCTAGGTGTCTATTTAATCTCGGAAGAGTGAATACATGCTGCTGCTTCTGATACATGTCTAAATTATGTATATCCTATTTATGAATATAAATGTACTTAATTCAAAAGTTGTTTGATATTTACTATTTTAAATTTGCAAATATTGTTGTGAAAAGTTCGCCTTAGCTTAGCATTTAAAATATTATGATAATGTTTTTATTATTTTATATTGATATAGCCAAAATATATTTTAGTATATAAATATACTTTTCTCTGTTAGTGCGCAGGTTTTAAAAGGCTGATATCCTCAGTTTCCGGTTTCTCAACAACCTGTATAACATAAGTAAAATGTATTAACACTAATTACAAAAATGGGCTAAAAATGTATTATGCTATGATGGATAAACAATGAACAGAATTTTAGATTCAGGTATAGTTCACAATGTTTAAGTTTGAATTACTCATACTACAGTTGAGATGTAGATAATATTTACATAAATTAAAACCACAAAAATAAATAATTTAAGGATGTTTGTCGCCAGATCTTTTATTTCAAACCAAACCCGTTAAGTACATTAAAGATTAGAATTTCTCATATAATACAATAGTTTCTATCACTGTTGATTCATAGGCGAATTTTGTATGGGAGTTGGATTTAACATTTGTAACTAGAGAACCCAATTTTTACCAAAAAGTTTATTTTAAGGATATCCAATTGTAGCTTATTCTTCGGAATTAGTCATCTGTGTTATACATTCCTTCCCACAGCTTATATTTTTTATTGTTAATATTTAACTGAAATGTCGGTAGGATTCTAAAATGCAAAATCTGTGAGTAACTGTTTGATTGTGATACGACGCGCTATGGTCTGTGTTAAAGCGCGCTTGTCGAAACATGTTTATATCCTACACCGATTGTTTTCTGGGGTAGCTGTTTGTTTTAGGTAGTTGAGATTTTTTACAATACGACGGTCGCTTTACGTCAGCTATCGGACGCTTTTTAGTGCAACGCGTACAAGTCGGTTGCGCACAGTTCTTATTTTAATAAGAGGGTGTCAATTGTGTTGATTAAGATGTAACCACCGCGTAGTGGAGAAAGTGCTAGTTTAGTTATTGTTTTGTGATACTTTCCGCGAGTCTAGTGCGTTTTAGAGTGCCTAACTACGTTTTCTGAAATCAGTTTACGAGGTGACGAAAGTGAAATACCTCCTTTTAGGGGCGCCCGGGAGTCGGCCACTGCACCAAAGGTAAGTACCTAGAGATTACTACGCTATTATTAAGCTATGCTATGTATTGTTGTAGGCTGTATCGACCTTTTTTCCGTTTCCCTTTTTATAATACATATTTTTGTATGTATTTTCCGTTCGCTTTGTAACGGAGAGTTTGCAAAACAACACGGCCACCGCTTACGAGGTTTATGCTAGCTATAAATATTAAGTATTTCTCCTGGCAAGTACAAACGACAGTTTGCCGCTCCGCGATTTGATTTCCTGAAGCGATGCGGACTCGAGCGATCGACTAATTCGCAAATAAACGGGCTTCTCACCCCTCACGACGAAAGCGCAATTAATAATATTGACGAAATGCGCTTCACACGCAGGTCAGCGTTCGCTCAGCCCGACCTAATTCGGAAATAATTGACAGACGTGAGAACCCGGCGCTCGGTGCGTTCAATATTATGCCAATAGTTGTGCACCGACTCAATTCGTTAATTAATTAATTCATCTTTTCACTCTTCGCTCTCGCCTTCCCCTTCGGCCGAAGCTTCGACCGAACGAATAATAATATTATTGCTAAATAAAGCTTAATTCCGCTGTGAACGACTACAATAGACGATAAATTATTATGAAGCGTCGATATCGTAATCTATCGCTAATAATATTGGCCCTAATCGCTCAACGATATGATAATAGGCTCGTAGCGAGTCTGTAGACTCGGACACCTGGCGCGGGACACGTGTTAATCTATAGAGTATTAATCACGATAAAAGTAATGAGTCGACATTATTATAACGCAGATCGCCCTCGGACCACCCGGATCCGTCCGGATACGAGGAAGCTTTCGCAAATAATGCCTTGAACCTTTCTCACGGACGGCTTAAGGTTCTAGAATGGCGGATACGCGCTCCGTCCAATCGTTTTGTTACTTTGTTAACACTTCCCTTCGGTGGTGATTTTAACATTTCTGTTCTTGAATTTGGGTCGAATTGAGTTAAATGAAACACCTAATACGGGTTAACGCTTTAAATGTTTTAGCTAAATGATGACGAGGGTATAGATGGCACTAGCGTGATGATGATATGAATTTTAGCAGGTCTATTTACTTCCGAATACTTTAATATTTTTCATATGATGGCACTATATAAATTAAAAATCGAAAATAAATTGCAAAAAATTACGACTCGGGCAGGATTTCGACCAGCATCGCAATTTATTTTTACATAAGGCAAGTACCTTAAAAGATAGATGTATAGTCTCGGACACTTTTTTTGATCATTTAAAGAGGAATCATATTTTCATACATATTGTTATATTGTTTAGGTATCTCGAACCTTCTTCGCAGAAAACTCACAAAGATGCAAAATTTTCTCCATTATTTTCACATTTCCCGCTTTTCTTCGCTCCTATTAGTCGCTGCGCAATGTTATATACCCTATAGCCTCCCTCGATAAATACTCTAACCAAAAAAATAATAATTTTCAATTCGAACCCGTAGGTACCTGAGATTAGCGCGTTCAAACAAACAAACTCTTCAGCTTTATATATTAGTTTAGATTTTTAATTTATATTCATATTAGTACTTTTTGGTAGAAACAGCTTAACAGCAAATTCACTAAGTTACGAAAATATCGTCTTTAACGTCTAACCTAAAATACTACTATAAAGTACTAAATTTTCTAATACATGTTTTATATTCTATTCACATGTTAACTTATCTAAATTAGTTAGAAAAGGAAGGGTTTAATGGGACATTATTTACAACTTCAACTTTGTTTTACTATCTATTTCTAGTTGTGTATAGTCTTAAATATACTACACATACAAGTCAGTGCTTGCTTTAAAATGCCTTACGACCGAATTAAGTGTAGTTCGCGTTTCAGCCAATCGAATGAGTATATGAGTATCGAATGGGTACGTACGTACTAGTTACAAAAACATCTTGAATTGAGCTTTATGTATGTGGGTAATCTCAAGAGAAAAATAAGATTCAGTCGAACGTTTACTTCGTATTAAAAATGCTTACTGTTACGACCTGGAATAAAAAAAAGCTTAGAATTTCAATCTTTCTTTACTAACCTAACTTAATCAATCAGATTCACTTTCGATATTTTTTTTATTTGTGCAACACAGTCTACTGAGGTTAAGGGTCAAAGACATGGCGGACGACATGAAAGGTCGAAATACTTCTACTTCAGTAGAACTCTCCATCTGAGAGCTTGATGGCGTAGATGTGGAGGGCTCGGAAGTCGCAGAACTGGTCTGTGCACCATCCGCCGTGTCCGTCGGTGCACCGGCAGGAGTCGCACTCGTCCATGTACTTCTCGCCCGGGATACACTTGAAGAACGGGTTCTTGATCACTGCCGTCAGATGAATTGTTACGCGCTTTCAAGTCGATACCATGCGAAGAAAGTGCATAGGTACATATTTCGTTAGATTCCCACCTGTGCATCTCAAACACGGCGTGCTCCTCTCGCAGAGCGCGGTGACCGTGGGCTCGCAGTAAACGCACGAAGGCATCGCCCGACACGCCCCGGAGTCTTGGTTCTCGCACAGGAGACAGTTTCGGTTCTCTGGGACCAGGGACTGAGAGGTTTCTTCTTCCCAGTATTGGTGGGGAGGCTTCGGTTTTACGAACTGAGACACCACGTAGCTGCTCAAGTGAGGAGAGATATCAACAATACACGGTCGAATGTTAGAACGAATTGTCCTTCCAACGATACGGTCGACATTGTTATTTTCATTGTCTTGTGCTAAGTCCAAACTCTCGTAGAAGACAAGAGTACCAGCTGTTGGAAACTTTTGAAGAATAGTACTGTGTACTAGTGTATTTTTTAATTAAATTACTTGATTTTTAATCCAAGATTACTTACGCTTGAGAGCCAGGTCTATATATCGGAGGCGAGTGCTCTTCGCCCGCCCCGACTGACGTCAAAGTGCCAGCCAACGGCGGACCGTGCCGAGTCTCTGGCAAAAGAGTCTTTCTTTCGTTAATTGTATAGACACAACAGTCGTCTCTGTCTGTTGTTGTCTGTCTGCACGCGAAGTTCACGTATAACGAACGGATAATGAAATGCTGGCTCACCTGGGCCATCGTAGGCGAAAGCCAGTCTGCTAACACAAAAGTGCAAAATTGTTGAGAGAACGAGCATGTTCGTTTGTGAGCGTCTGTAGCGAGTATCAGCCGCCGCCAATTAGAGCCGTATTGGCTTAATCGGCGATCGTATGCAGGTTGTACGGTACTTTATGTGTGAGCCGATACAGAGTGCAGCGGTCTGTCGATACAGAGGTAGGTAGCTTATTCACATTTTCGTTATATTATTATTAAACCTACACTGATAGCCAACTGCAACATACATCGCTGGCTACTTCACCCGACTCTTTAATCCTTCTCTGCGGAGGATAGTAGGTAATTCTTCTACAAAATCGTCTTTTATCAAGCAACTGGTCTTTCTAGTTACGAATTGTTGATATTATAGATACTGTTTAAAATTAAACTTCGCCCTTTTTACTACTCGGTATATATTTTCAAAATTGATTTCATCTTGTTTCACGAATAAAAGTAGGACAAAATAAACAACACCCCCTAGGTGGCGTTGTGTGCAATTAAAACGAAGAGCGAGGTCGTTAACGCGTCGGATTAAGTGCTTCAGTGTATCGAGTACATGCATTAATGGCATTTACGACTTCTCTTTTTAATCGTTACCTAATTGGCTAGTCCGCGAGGCTTATCGTATCTCTGTAAATTCTGAAAGCGCGCGTCGAGCTACGAGCGTCCTACATTACAAAATTGTAGTAATATTATCGTGTTTGAAAATAAATTAATAATTCCACAAAGGCCTTCCCGAATCGGCGGAGAGTATTATCGAGTTTCACAAATTCATTATATCATTCGCAGGAACTGTCTATTAGAAGTAAATCGTGCAGAATGAGGTCGACATTACATTCGGCTCGTTCACAATATCGCGGGGAATAATTGATCTCTTAATAATATACTCCTTTGAAAGAGCGACAATTTGTCGTCTTTGTCGACGTCTCTATACAATCGCAAATGGTATCAATTTCACTAACAACTTTTGCGAGAAACGATCGAGTAGAGCGGAAGTACACCTTATCGCGACGTGATTAAACTGTGAATCGTCTGTAAGAATCGTAGGCGATATGTGTGTCGCTTCTCGGGCGGAAATACGTGCGGTTGCGACAATATAATACAAAAAATCACTACGACTTACAATTTCCGAGTTTACGTTAAGAAGCCTCGGCATAAAGTCATCCGTCCACTCCGAGCGAAATATAGGTATTAAAGCAACCGGAAGTATCATATTTGCCGTTTTAAAAATTCCTATTGAAAAAGTCTCCAAATACGAGCCTTAGTGGTTCATCGTATGGCGGGTCTCATACTGTTATTAACGAATATTATATTTATTTTACGTCATATTGCGCAGCTCACTATTTCCACCTCGTTACGAGGCGGTGAGCGCGGTCCTAAAGGCCACACGAGGACCGCCCGCGGCGCCTTTCGTACTCTCGGCCGATATTAACCAAAATTAATATAAATATGGCCCATTGTACTCGCCGGCGCATTATGCGTCTGTTTACACAGAACTTTTTATTAGGATAATAATCTTTTGTGAGGCAAGGGGTGAAACGCGTTCAGTTGAATCATTAAAAGTTATAATAACAGATAATTGCAGGGGTCTCTGCTGCCGCGGATTATAGGCTTTTAACTACCTATTACGCTTTCAATCGTGGTCGAGATTTTAAGACGAAAATGTTCTGTTTACAAATAGAGCAGCTTAATAAATTAGAGAGACTCCAAAACTTTGCTATTCGTTTTATCTACGGTCTCAGGAAGTACGACCATGTCTCAGAGTTCCGCTCAAAACTTAAATGGCTCCCCATAAGACTTCGTCGCAATACTCACATTCTTTGTCTTCTTTTCTCTATCCTTTTTGATCCGCGCACTCCTTCCTACCTAAAGCAGAGATTTATATTTATGGGTTCCTCCCATGAACTGGACCTTCGCTCTACTAACAACCGCCTTCTCTCCATGCCGATCCACTCGTCAAAGTTTTATGACTCTTCTTTTTCGGTACAGGCTGTCCGCCTATGGAATGTGCTACCACTTACAGTCAGACTGTCACAGAGTCACACTATATTTAAGGTCAGGGTCAAGCAATACTTTCTTGGTAATGCTGTTTAGCCTTGGCCTCATTGGCTTTAGAATTAATCATATTTAGGATCTTCATATGCTTCTCTAGGTTTTAAGTGTGTAATTTTATCTATTAAGTATGTTTAGCTTTAGTAATTTGGTGTTAATTTCCAGTTTATATTATCTTTTTATTGTATAATTTAATTTTTTATGTTGACTTTTGATTGTTTTCCAAAATTATCTTTTTTTATTTCTTATTTCTACATGCAAAGGTTGCCTGGAAGAAATCGCCATAGGCGATAAGGCCGCCTTTGCACAAACATGTTTTATTTTGTATATGTAATTCTATGTATCCATGTTCTTATGTCTATGTTTGTGCAATAAAGAGTTTATTATTATTATTATTATTATTACTTTTATAACTTTAATTCTTTCTTGTTGTAAACAAGAAAGAATTCCTACGTCGGTTCGTCTGTCACGTTTGCCTATACATTACTTAACTTGGGTTTATAAACTTTTTCCGTTTCTGTACTTTAAGCGAGTAACTAGTACACATTTACTTACATTAGATTACGCTACACGTTTTGCACGACCGAAATTGAAAATCCGAAACTTCGGGCTGCAGTTAAAATCAATTATCGTAAATAACTTTAATACTAGGTATATTTCGCGTTATAACCATTTAAAATCTTTTATTAAAATTTCTAAAAAAGTTAACCAATTGTACAAGGCCTTTGCGGCCATTTTGCAAAGATAAAAGCATTTTACGAAAATCCATGTTAAAGTACAACTGTTAATATGAAGCGACCGCTCTTCTCTTCAATGTTTGGATCGAAGCGTATCCCCGTACTTCAACAATGCGACAAAGCGATGAATTAAATCCAAATATGAAATGAGCAACACAAGTTGTCTCGAAGACACTATTCAAAGGTGCATTGAAGCTCGTCACCGCTCGCTTCATATCTTCCCTACAATAGAGCGAATCTCTCTTCTCCCGGGGTACGCACTGCGCAATTCCCATAACCTAATGTTAGTTTATCATTAATAATATGATTAATGTAAATAAATACTTGGACGCCGTGCACGATACTATACTAAGCCTATCCGTTTTCACCGTTCCTAATTTGCTGGAACGATTTCAGCGGTTATAACAACACCCCTGCGACGTTGCGCAGTGGGTAAATGTGTCGCCGAATAATGGCATGTATTCGAGCCTTAGTGAGAAGCGCAAAAAATCATTTAACCCAGAAACCGCGCGACACAATTGAATGTTTAGAGTTGGATATTTCGCCCACGGCTTCACGCGAAGTAGAATACTGTTGAAGAATATTCTTCAAAATTGCGCTCGAATTTCATATTCGTTATTATCGCATTTCTGAAATAAAGAAAATATTACAGAATCAGAACGAACAGCCACCGAGGCCGGACGAAGGGTGAATGTAGAACGGCAAGCGAAGCGGCGGGGAGCGGGGACGCTACTGAAATGTTTTGTGGGCTGAAAACGCGTAGGAGTCTCGCGTACTCTGCTAGGCTCGGGTGCACCCAACGGTTAACCCGTCGCTGCGGTCAGCATTGAAAGAAAACAAACTCGTCCGTCTCTTAACATACGCTCCGTTGAACCTTTCGTGAAATGTTTCACATTTCATCAACTTTGACCGCAGTTACCCGGATTCTTCGATGAAATCTCTCGTGTCAGGCGAGTAAAGGCCGATCGACTAAACGAGGGTTATTGAGAACGGCTAAACGAGTGCGTCGGAGCCGGTCCGCGCCGACACGTGCTCGACGACGTCACGGCTACCAAAATAGCATGACCCCTCACTGTTCGCGCTCTCGGCCGTGTTTTGGTAGTGCGACGTTCGAGGCGGGGATCTCTTTATTTGGAAGTCATCGCGTAGTCGCTCGCAGGAACGAGCCGTAATACAAATAATTATTATTAAGTTTCAAAGTCACGACTATATCGCCAGTAATCGCGAGTGTCGCTTTCGAACAAATGTAGATGAAATGTATGTTTCGATGTCAGTTGTAAACGTGCAACTAACGAATTGGTCGTTTATTGTGAGACCTAAGATCGACGTGAGACCCATCGCAATGTTGAGATCGAGGAAACCCTCACGCCGCAAGAACCGAAGGGGCGTTTCCTGCGAATTACGGTGTAAATGAAGAAATACTTTTGCTAAAACTAATTTAGTGGGAGCGAGACAGAAATAGACATCGCCGCGAAACCTCTTCGAACGCAAGAGAGAGACGGAGCGGCTGCACCGTCACACCATTTGTGGCGAAACTCACTTCGACTCGCGGCATTTAGGCGCGCCGCCTCCGCTGGAATTCGGACTCTACTCGAGCCGCGTAAGAGCGCTTCTGCGGCGGCGCCGGGCGAAGAGTTATTTCAAGATTGACACAGCGAACAAATTTCATTTCAACCGCTAAAAGTTTAAAGTGCAATTTAAATATTGTGGGCGCGTCGGGGGTCGACTGCGTTCGCAACTCGGCGGCTTACAACTTCGGAAGCTCTCGACTGTAAGCTCGAGCGCCGGAGGACTCTGGGGCGAGGCGCCCGAGGGTCGGAATTTGCACACTGCGATCGTTCGACGTACCGGCCGCGTGCGAAATGCGATTTGTAATAACACAGCAGGTAAAGAGGAATCCAGCGGTCGGAGAGCGACCGACTTTCAACTCTATCCGAAGAGAGCTAGGCGGATAGTCGCGTGCGAAGTTGCGTCGGCCAGATATTAATAGCGCGTTGCAGAATGCGAGGGATGTAACGTCTTATTTGGTGAGAGCCACGAAATGGCTCGAGTCGGAACATCGACGGCGACGCTTGCGGTGCAGCTGCGCTCCGTCGCACTAGCCGTACTCCTGGGGCCAGGCGGAGGAGATGAGGAAACGTTTCAAGGTCGCAGAAAATCAATCGAATGGAGAGCTTAGAGATGTTTATTTATGCAACTTAATACTTTAAAGTGCTGCTCAAATGTTCGATTATACTTATAAAATAATAACATATAATATAAAATACACGAATATTTGATTGAACTACCTTTATTAATAAACGTTATACATTCACCGTCTTGATTTTTAAACTGTGGAGATGTATGCGAATAAATAAATGAACAAAAACTTGACTACTAACATTATAAAAAAAAACAATGTAACAGAACTATCTTTTTGGACCGGTTCAATCGATCGCAGCCGTCTTTAATTCTATAATAGGTCTAATATGATGTATAATCAGTGTTTTAGTCAATCCGCTACATTCTATTTTGTCACATTTCAAATAAAAATACGAGAAATGCGTTCAACGAGCTACGCAACATATATATATGTTACACTGATGTAGTTCAGTGTGTCAGTGAATTCAGCCCACGCCAAGCTTCTGTGTGTACTTCTATTAAATTCGATCATAACATAGAAATAAATAATTCGTACATTTGCAGTACTGAAATAGTCGTATAGTTTTTGAATTATAGATTGATTTGCGGAACCCTACTTGTTGTCTTTGTAAACGTCGCCGCTTGAGTAGTGACCAGTGCCGTGGGAATCAATGATCGTTTCTAATCAACCCATTCTACGTTCATACGTTACAAAATGGGGGATGACTTGAATGCATCTATAACTTGTATAATTTGTGGCTCTCAATAGTTATCCATAAAGCTTTAACCAAATTATTTATATACATATATATTAGTATAATAGAATAGTTATTCTGGGCATCAAATTTTCTGTCTCCCTGTGACCACGGCTGCTGCAAAGCATCCGAGACGTTGGGCCGAAGTAAAAATAATTTTCAGATAAGTTTAACTAATACATGTCGCGTTTTGAACCGTCAAGTGTTTTATTTAAACACCAAAATTTATTTTTGCAAACCTCCTGTTCAACTCTATACATTTACGCTGTAACCCACGACGACATCCGCGTCCCGTCGCACTTGCAAGCAATCTTAATAGATGGACGGACATATGCTGTGTCGGACATTTTTTAATATCATTTAAAGATGAATTATGCTTACATCCATTTTTTTTGGGAATCGTTTATCTCCATTTCCACATTTCCCGCAGTTTCTTCACTTCTATTAGTCACAGCGCGATGTTTTATAAACACAAGTAATTTTTCAATTCGAACCAGTACTTCCGGGGATTAGTGCCTTCAAACGAACAAACTCTTCAGCTTCTTCGGCATAACACTCTTTATTAAAATAAATTTTACTCTTTGACATATTTCTATTTCTAATTGAAAATAATGACCTAATATTAATATTTTGAACCGGTCTGCAAGACCCTCAAGAAACCTAAACTAGTCTTATTTAAATCTAACTTAATTGGTAACGAACATAACTGTACTACAATAATATTCTTGTTTGTTTAAATTGTCAAATGCAAACAATAGAAAGATGATGGCATCTGTGTCTCAACCGTGAATAAAATGGCGAATTGTTACGTACGCAACTGTAACAATGCTCTTAGACTTAGATTATTATTTATGTTGATTCGATTCGAGCGGTCCAGAAATCGAACCGTTTTCCTAAGATAGATGATTTACATTCAATATCCACGTATAAAGTGTCAAACTACACCCAAAGGCCAGTCGCCCTCGCAATGATTGACGTCTCTCTCAATTAGCCCGACTAATTGAAAAATACGGCGCTCAGTCGATAGCATTACGGAGCCGATGGCACGCGACCGAGGTCCACGTGGGCCCCAAAAGAGCAACTATCGCCAATTAGTGGGCCAAACGAGCCGAGACCAGATACAATGGGCGACAGATTAAGTCGCCGAGGGATCATTTACGAAGTCACTTCCGTACACTCCGTGCCAGACGTTAGCTATGTTTTAAGAAATATAGTTTCTTCAATAGGACACTCTTAACGGTTTGAAACGCGAAATATATTACTGCAAAACATCCGAAACGACAGGTTACAAGTTCATTTATATATTTTGACTTTTAAGTCGTTAAAAGTGTTTTATTTAGACATTTTGCACTCGCGTGAACTGCAGACAAGGCTTAAATGTAGTCCTTATACTCTTATAGAAATAGTAGAACAAGATTTTGTAGTGGCTTCCGTTTGAGGGAAGAGAAAGGTAGACTAGTCTCTGTGGTCCCATCGATTTGCCGACGAGTGTACCTACCACGAGCGGAGTCAATTAGGGCAGTGATTGTGGCCAACACGCGACTCGCACGCGACTCCGAGAATTGCCATCGGCCGTGGACACCGTTTGTTTTAATACAGCCTTCCGTTCATCTCGTTACATTTAATTGTCCCTCGATCTGCGTCCGTTACTTTCTTTTTATTATTAGAGTACCTAACTGCGTTGAGCGAGACGAGACAACCATTTCGTATATTTCGCGGATTTGCTTTTTAATGAAGTCTAGTTCCATTTGGTGCGGCCGCTAACCTCATTCTTAGAATAAAATAGCGAACCGCTTTAAACTGAATATTTTCATTTAAACACTTTAACATTTTTTATCGCATGTGATGCATTTACAATTAAATGTTTACTTTTAATTAAAGAAAAAAAAATGCTACTAACCAATTGAGCTACCGTGTCCTGCACGTTATCGTCACATCTTTTCACTCTATTGATACATACAGCCCTCGTGCAAAGTATATTTTTCAATAATTGTCAATTGGTAAGAGCAACAGCCTAGAACGATGTTGATGCCGGTTCGAGTCCTCCCCGTGTATTTTTTTTTCAATAGAAATCCGATCTTGATGAATACCCCAAGTCATTGATTTCATGTACCTGTTTTCGTCTTGCTCTTCATAACTAAATAATTCTTTAACACCTGTAGGTTCATTTTATATCATTCAGTTGGTGCGTTGCATCTTATAGGTATTTTTATGTTTCCGCTAATTAAAAAAATCGTAGATATAAATGGTGTAGTAGTCGTAGATATAAGGGGTGGTAAAAAAGTACACATACACGGCTTCAACTGAGTCTTCTGAAAGCAAAAAATCTACGCTGATCACATTTTGTCATGTTTTTTGGTAGATCGTGTACTCAGAAGCGCTCAAAGTGACACCTGAGCAGTTTATTAGGTGAAGGAATCGTTCGTCAATGGGGAACACTGAAACGGTTATTTTCAACCAAAAATCACGCAACACTCCACCTGTCTCTAATAATAGCCGGGCAATGCACTCTGCACTTGCGGCCGATATGCTCATGCATTTTTATAATATGTCGAAAACTGTAGATATGTGATAAATACAGAGATTTCACCTTTCAGTCTCTTAATTGATTTAATCGATTTAGAATTTATTAGGCTACCTCGAAGGCCACATAAAAACCCAGGTTCTTCGGTGGATAGCAGGCAATGCTTTAGCCGCTTGATCCTGTTGCATAAATGGTCCCAAATTGTTAGCGTAGCACAACATGACTTTGATTATTTACCCACTACCGTGTCATTTTTGTACTGACTTGGCAAAGTACTAGTTTTTAGACGAAGGTACAGAACGTTTGGCAAAAAAAATGTTAATGTTAATTGTATAGCAAAACAAACGAACCCTTTGTATAGTCGTTTAAGGCGGGCACGTCATATTCGTATTACTTTGATACGCATACGATATGAATACGCATAGTACGATACTAACTGCAATATTACGCAATTTGAGATTAATTCGGTGGCTAAAGAGTACAGCCAGAGTAAAATGAAGGTTAACAAACATTGCCTTCCACCAAAGTATATGAAGGAAAGGGAGGTCGCACCTTAACTTTCCATGTATCATTTAAAATTTTATGTTCGCGAAGTTCGATGGTCCACATTTAAGTAATTATTTAAAAATCGATTTAATATTGAAAAACCATATAAAAATCGTCCAGTTTAGAAGGAATCGCAAGCGGGAGGCTCGCATCGCCCAAAACGGGTAGGGCGGGCGGCGCCCGGCTCCCCGTCGAGCCTCGGCGTCCGCTCGGGTCCCTAGCGAAGATCGCGCGAGGGATGAAATAGGCTTCGTAGGTCCCACAGAAGGGTGGCGAACGAATTGAAGAACGAGCGAAGAGAGAAGCGCGGGCGCCCGTGAGCGGTGAGGCGCGCCTTGTATGGGTGTGTCGCGGCGCGCGGCGCGGAGTTGCGCCGTCTATAAAAGCAGGGCGGGCGAAAGACCGGCGCACTCGCAGTCTCGCTGCCGTTGAGTCAATTCCTAGCGCGTCCCGAAACACACACACGACTCCACAATGTGCGACGACGATGTTGCTGCGCTCGTAGTCGACAATGGCTCCGGTATGTGCAAGGCCGGTTTCGCCGGAGACGACGCGCCCCGTGCCGTCTTCCCGTCCATCGTGGGCAGACCCCGTCACCAGGGTGTGATGGTCGGTATGGGCCAGAAAGACTCCTACGTAGGTGACGAGGCCCAGAGCAAGAGAGGTATCCTCACTCTGAAGTACCCCATCGAGCACGGTATCATCACCAACTGGGATGACATGGAGAAGATCTGGCACCACACCTTCTACAACGAACTGCGTGTCGCCCCCGAAGAGCACCCCGTGCTCCTGACAGAGGCCCCCCTCAACCCTAAGGCCAACAGGGAAAAGATGACCCAGATCATGTTTGAGACCTTCAACTCGCCCGCCATGTACGTCGCCATCCAGGCCGTGCTCTCTCTCTACGCTTCCGGTCGTACCACCGGTATCGTGCTAGACTCCGGAGATGGTGTCTCTCACACCGTGCCCATCTACGAAGGTTACGCTCTACCCCACGCCATCCTCCGTCTGGACTTGGCCGGTCGCGACTTGACCGACTACCTCATGAAGATCCTCACCGAGAGGGGTTACTCGTTCACCACCACCGCTGAGAGGGAAATCGTTCGCGACATCAAGGAGAAGCTCTGCTATGTTGCGCTCGACTTCGAGCAGGAGATGGCCACCGCCGCCGCCTCCACCTCCCTCGAGAAGAGCTACGAACTTCCCGACGGTCAGGTCATCACCATCGGAAACGAGAGATTCCGTTGCCCCGAAGCCCTCTTCCAGCCTTCCTTCTTGGGAATGGAATCCTGCGGTATCCACGAGACCGTGTACAACTCCATCATGAAGTGCGACGTCGACATCCGTAAGGACCTGTACGCCAACACCGTCATGTCCGGTGGTACCACCATGTACCCCGGTATCGCCGACAGGATGCAGAAGGAGATCACCGCCCTGGCGCCCTCTACCATCAAGATCAAGATCATCGCTCCCCCCGAGAGGAAGTACTCCGTATGGATCGGAGGTTCCATCCTCGCCTCTCTCTCCACCTTCCAGCAGATGTGGATCTCCAAGGAGGAGTACGACGAGTCCGGCCCCGGCATCGTCCACCGCAAGTGCTTCTAAGCCTGCTGACGGAGCGCGTGTCTGTGCGTGTGTTGTGCTCTCGTATCGAGTTAGGAACGCAAGCATTTTGTACGTTGTACGTAGTGATACCTGACAGAACTGAACATCTAATATGACGCCATCTATCGTGTAATGTAATTTATTGTAAAATTTATATAAATTTAATTTCTTTTTTATTTTTATTATACTCGGGATCGTTATGGATCTCACGCCAAAATGTAATTAATAAATAAACGGTTAATTTATTTATTGTAATTACATCATTTCTTTTTATACATCTGCCAATTTGGTTTTTAATTAGAGACTCCTCGACCCACTTTCCTTCCCCTCCCCCCCGAACGAAGTCTCATCGGCTGCGGACCGATTTAGAGCCGGTGCCGCACGCCACGAGAGCACTCGCACCATAAATAGGGAGAACTCGCCGCCCCCGGGTCGACTAAATTTAGGCCGGCGCCTGTCGTCGACCGAGCGCGAGGCGCGGCCTATTAATAGGCGACTCCCGCGCTGCGCTAGTCTCGTTTCACTATTCTTTCGGCTCATATGGCAGTAAATAGTTCCGCTTTGTTTTCACATTACATTTGGTCGTAAACCTGGGAGACTTGCGCAACGCTGGCACGACATAACGGCAACGGCTTATCTCGGCTGCGAAGTGATCGATCGCATAGCCGCACCCACTCGCGCGCCTCGAAACTCATGTATTTTAGGAAACTCCTGCGGTTCATCGCGCTCCATCTTTAGGCCAATCGGCTCTTCCGCCGAACTGTTTTGGCTTTATTTTATAACATGCCTTCGCGTGGGATTGCTAAACGTTTTTTAAGCGCCAGTTGTTGCGTTTGATTTTATTTCTTGCAGTTAACAAATCAAATTTGAATATATATTTATTGAGACACTTCGTTTTCTTGTGACCCCTACTAATATTTACATCCGAGCTTCGGTTCAAGTTCAAGTACGATAATGGTTTAGTTGAGGCAACGTGAATAATAATTTACCTTCATACTGTATTTCTCCATACGTTCGGCCCTATCTCCGCGACTATTTCCGTCCTACCCCTCAGCGCCTCCCAAATGTTCGCCGCGCGTTTCAGTCCGTGGTCGGGACCAAAATAATTCGCATCGACAACTGTTCACCTGCAGTTTAGTTGCTAGAAGAAGATATCGGTCACCTTCCATTCCACGATTACCTACTATCATTGACAGACATAATTTACGCAAAGCATGTGTTTAGTCCGACTTTATCGGCTGTCAGTGGAGTCATCGATGTATTTTAGTATGCGATTACAAGTTTTAACATCTTATGCGTGGCGAACGCGTAACGCCGACGTATCGTTGGTCCTTTCGTGTTTTGTCGAGCTTAATTGTTCTCCCGCCCCAGGGTCGCTTTAAAAGGGTTCACGTCAAGTGTTTAAATACCTATTGTTAGACATCGATCAGCCGACGAGAGCTGGCATCGTTCGGGGCCATTAGCGACCCGGCTCCGAAGTCGCGGTGATATCACTGTCGCGAAAATGTCTCATGATTCATGTTCGCTATCAATGGACTGATTTAGACAAACAGACGTGCACTTGCATTAATAACGGTGCCTCGCCAACAATTCGATTAGATAATAGTCGTGTAACTTATTCGGGGTCGTGGAGTGATTCGAGATATTTAATTTTTACTATTATGGCACAAGCTTTCTCAGTCAGATGTAGAGTATTTGTAATCTAAACTTGAATTATATAATTATGAGATTATATCACAATCTCTATATTGTGACCTCAAATATTATTGCAGAAGCGTCAGCCGAGGTAGAAAATCAGCTTGACCAGACCAAATGTTGTCCTAGAAGCTAAAGTTCAATCCGTTCCAAATCTCTCAACAAAAGACGTCCTACTTTGTTGCACTATAATACAATACAATAGTTTCATTAGGCCAGACTCCTCCCTGTTTAAACGAGAAACCAGAGTTCATGACGTAGTATAGAAGTAGGTATTGTCGTGCCTATATGACTAGGTTTCGCCTACGATTTTGATGTGGAGACGCCTCCCACCTGCTTAACCTTGTAACTGGGTCGGCAGGTGATGCTTCATTTTAAATTTAAGAATTTATTGAAATCTAAATAAAACATTTGTTAGAAGACTAGTTGTTAAATACCGCAGTACACAATTGTTTGTTAGAGTAATCTCCCATGGTGGGCGTAAGATAGTTTGTCAGTTTTGAAAGAAAAATTCTGTAGATTTAAATATTAATTCATAACAAACGACTCATCTAAATGCTGCAGGAAGCAAATCTCACAGCGCTGTTTTTCAGTAGGTTTCCACTGGCTGAGGTTTCAGTAAACTAATGTAAATTGTAAGAAAAAGAATTAAATCAATAGGGTACGAAATAACCTTAACTGGTAAAATAATATAGAAGTTAAGTAATTAGTTAATTGTGTCAAACGACACAATTAACTAATTACTGCAGTAATAATCTAACGCCCACCTCTAATCTGTATCAACGATATTTTATTTATGTCATTAATGATTTTCCGCGGTTCATATAGATGCACTATGTCTCCTTTCATCGAGCAATTGATAAACATTGGTATATTTTATGTTGCCTTATACATTACCTTTTGAACTACATCCGATTATTATCAATCTCACCTTAGTGTACTACGATATTCGATACGATACGAATCAAATAAAACTGAATTAGCGCGGTTTGAAGAGGGATCTTAATTTCTTCGCGTTGATAAAAGCTATATTGAGCTGTAACCGAGTTTGCCTTTCGAACGCCTCGTAAATAAGTTTCTCGATTGAACAGATCCAATTGCGGAGAAAGGCGTAACTATTGAAATGAGTCTCCGCCTCGGCGCCGACAAACTGAAAGACTCGGCCGCCTCTAATCTCTGCGACACTCTTCTCGACCTGAGCCCCGATCTACAGGCTGCTCCCGACTTCCTGTCTCTTGCCGGCGTAACGACAGCTAGAGGAAGTCGAAGGAGAGTTACATTAAACGTAACACAGTATGTGTCGTCGTGTATTGATATTAAATGACAAATTTAAGGCGACATAATATGATTAGCGAAGCGAACACCCCGTATAAGTGGTAATGAAATAAGGTGTAATAAAGTGATGTAGCGAATGGCGGGGAGCGATGTCGGTTGTTGTTCGTCTCGAACTGGAATATTACTCGACTCGGAAACAATGGAAATATTCTGCGAAGAGCTCATATTCTAACTCGCGCTACGCCGCTGCCTAGTCCAAGAGCCGGATACGCCGCGGAGTGGCAATGAAAGTAAACACCCTATCCCTCTATCGAAATAGCACCAATTCCACCAGGTAAAGGGCGTCATAAGGACAAAAATTATGGATTTTTAATTAAAATAAACGCCTTCTACTAGATGAAAACGAGTATACGCACCTATACGTATATTACTTTATAAAGAAAATTTATTCCTAGGAACATGTAGTACCTATTTTTATTTAATTGTACGTAATAAAAATGACGTAACCCAAGCGCGATCGTCGTGCTTCAGTTTTCCTACAAGACACGAGATCTTAATAAGCCATATTTAGTCTTCCTTCGTGACTCGGTCGCGACTCTCGGGCTAGTTCGACCGCGACTATTTGCACGCTACGATATTAGACAAGTTGTCGACGCCTCATTTATAGCTAACTAAACTATAATATTAATAACGATCACGACAGCCCCGAGCGGCCGGAGGCAGATAAAAGAGCATTGTTGGAATGGATCAAAGCTTAAATGAATTTAATTGTCGCGCCGTCGCTAAGGGCGATTGTCGCGCGCAGCGATCGAGCCGCTTTGGAAGCCGACGGACCGCGAACGCCGTCGAGCTTTTTATTAATTTCGCCCTTAGCTGAGGATGTGAATGCGATCGGCTCAATGCCGCGTTCTCTTTTGATATTCCGATATCGCCCCGATATTGTGTCAAACTGGATCGTGTCGACTTCATTATGATTATTCGATAGACAGCGCTGCCGGCCGTGCGTTCGCTTCTAATACGGATTCCTACCTAAGCCTTCGTCCTTTGTTTCGACTTATTGCACATATGCAAACATTCTTCCGTGTCTTAAGCGACGACATCGTTTCTTGACTAATGATAAAATAAAACGAATATTTAAGGTAGGCCCCGTACCATAATCGCGTTTTTACCTATGTCGCTCGAGTTCAATGGAATACTTATAGAAATAAATTATCTACCAGATTATTTATCTAGTCTAAAGGCCGGAATCCTTCGTGCGAGTTCGGAAAAACACTAAAGTATCTCGTTACTTGTTTAAATCGTATCAAAGGCGTTAAAGGTTACGCGTTCAAGTAATTCCTCAATGAAGACAATTTTCGTGCACTAAAATAAGTTTCTATACAGCTAGCCAACTTATATCGCTGCCTTCTAAGACCGCAGTCGATAAGTGCCCGGGGAGCCAAAAACAATTAATTCGACGTAGTAACATTTAAACATGGGCCGTGAGAGGCTCCTTTGTCCCATTAAATCCAGTGATCGCGTATTAGTTTTGAGCCCTCGTTAAAGTACAATCGACCGGCGCACGCACCGTGCAATGCGAGTGACCCTCTTTAATCGCTTTGTAAATCGCTTTTTTATTTGTATAACTCTTTAATTGAAAACCGTGTACTCTAAACTGAATCTGTTTGGCAGGTAAACAACTGATTGTTTGGGACCTTAATTTAAACGGTCGAATTCGTATTCTGCAAATTAAAACGCTTTAGCAAACGAAACTTATACCTGATGTAAATTATTGTTAGTCGGTCGTAATAACAAAAAGTGTGCCACAATTAGCGGATACTTTTGACATAATGTAACTCGTTAGTCTGTGGGTGTGGGGGGGGCGAGAGGGGGGAGGAGGTTGCAGAATTTAATATTGGCGGGCGCGGGTTAAGGCGACGAGTAAATAAAACTCACTGAGACCGCTGCCGTGTTAAGGAGAAGCTTATCGCCCGAGAAATGGCTATATGACGCGGTAGCGTGCGTTGCTCTACAGTATTATTTGATAGATAAGTGGATATGTAGGTTATAATCGGATGTCTCCGTTCAATTTAATTGCTCATACAACTTTCACATAATACAAATTTGTCACGCTTTGCCCAACGTTGTTGTTGTTGTTATTAACTGTTTATCGTATTACGAATAGCAATGCCGAAACGATGAGCAGTTTAGTTTTTTTTTATGATAGAGGAAGCAAGCGTGGGATCAGTAAACAGGGGACTTGATGGAAGTGTACCCCAGAGATGCGCCGTCTACCCATTTTGACTTAAATATTAGAAAACTCGATAATTGTGGGACAGCTCGGCCTTAAGTGTATGTCTGCGGATATTTTTACAAACGTTATTACTGGCGGCGGCGCGCGGTAGCTGCGGGGGGAAAGTGGGGGGAGCTTAGCTTTCTTTATTAAATTTTCGTTTGGGGTCGACGCATTAGCTCAGCGGTCTGTGGGGACCCACCACCGACAGCTTACGGCGACAACGTAAACGACTCGTGGCCGACGTATGTCTGTTGCTGTTATAGCACTGACCATTTGCAAACGAACTAAAGCATTTTTACAGTTAGTAACATATTAACTTGACTTTTATTATAGAACTTCAACTTTATAACAGAATTCGAGAACAACAAGTAGGTACATGTGATATAAGTAACGTTTTAGTATATTATTTTATAAGAACAGTGTTTTTACTCCATAGAAATTCACACTCGTAGAATTACTTCATAACTGATAAATTATATTAAATCCAATAATTTTTTCGTATCATTTTACATAACTTTACAAACTTTAACCTTAGATTTTACTTTTTCAACTTCTGGATCTTTTGTAGGCTGGTAATCATTACATATTTACCTAAAATTATATTGGGTTTTTTCATCAGACGAATCCATGTTAAAATTTTCACGATCAAACGAACTCTTCATCTTTTATAATATAAAGAAGATATTTTATTCAGATCTCTATTTTTATTTAAATAAATAATACATATTATAATAATTATTTAAAAATCCATCTTGAAAAACATATGATGACCACAATATTAGAACTAATCATGACTGTACTTATATTACGGCAAAAAAACGAAAGTAGCGCCATCTAGTTAAATATTTTTTAAAGTAAAAATAATGTAGTTGATTTTTAGAGTGTCCTCTATCTAAATTAAAGTCAGTACGATAAATTGAGTTTAATTTTATACTATTGTACATTCATCTGAAATATGCTTTTTGTTATATTCTTTTTAACACAAAGTATTAGTTACAACATTTATTTAATTTTAAATATGGTATAACCATTATTAATTCTAATGACTTCATTATTATCTCGTAAGTAGAACCATGAAGTTTTTCTACTTACCCAAAGATGGCGCTGTTATAAGGTTAAAGTTTCATAGTTCGTAACGTTAAAATTAATACTTTATTTCAATAAGAACGATTTTTTGACATGATGACTACGTAAAAATTAAAAATTTCGAATCATATGTTTTCACATATGCAAGTATGCCTAGTTAATTACATTGCTCTCCATTCTAATATATAAGATTTTATTCTGTATCATAATTTTGTTTTGTACAATAAAGAATATATACATTATTTAATTAATTCCTATATTATAACCTCACGTAGCAAGAAAGTGACATCTCTAGAAATATTAACGAACTGTTTAAATTTACCTGAGGTAATGGTTATTAGTTTTCTACTCATCAAGAGATGGCGCTGATACACCGAACTCATCATTTAGTTTTATTTTCAAAACAAGTTTATTTTCTATATAATAATTGTTTTGATTATTATTGAACTTTTTTATTCAAATCACAATCAAATATAATTATTAGAATTTTGAAGAATTTGTTTGTAGTTGCTTAGAGCGTTATCTCTTAAGTAGAAAAATATTTAGAGTTTCTTATATCTGTAAGAGATGGCTCTGCTGTAACTAAGTTATAAAATTAGAAGTTGTAAATTCTAATACAATTTGCTTCCTAATAAATAGTGCTACCTTTATAATGTTGAAATTTAATAAAAATAGGCGTAATTTTGTTTATATTTTTTTTACTGCTGATAACTTGGTACAGCCTTACACTCTGCGTTCGTTCGCCGAACTCGTGTCGACAAATTTAAATCCGTAATAAACCTTAATGAGTGAGCTATAAAATTGGGTACAAAGTTAGAAGTGAACAAATGTTGTAACAATTAGTGAGTTACGCTAACGAGCGGCTTCCGTGACGGCACCGATCATAGCTTTCTGACAAACGTCTGACTTCTACTTGTTTCTACAAGCGTGAGCGCTCCCTCGCGGATTTTAAATAAAAAATAAAATTATGTATCGCATCAAAATTAGGGGGTGCTTAGCTACCGCTATTAATGAATGTTAGATGCTTTATTCGTTCAACAACCTCATTCGTTATGAAATAAAGTGACTGCCGTCGAATTGTACACTTTGTAATTCAAGTGTCCGTTCTGTAGATTTATATGGTAGAGAAACACAAAGATATACTTTTACCTTTGTTTTTTTAAATGTCATCAAAAAAGAGACGTTTATAATTTCCTAATTTTGCCGATACATACAAAAAATATTTCCATGTCAACTACCGCTTCGTGATTGTATACGCACCTTGTTTGAGTATCAGATGAGCGATTAAAAGAGCGTGGAAACTAACAGTCCACGCTGAATCGTCTCGGAGTGTCGAGGGGGTGCGAGGAGGTGGGAGCGAGGGTGAAAGAGAGTCAGTCCAATAACATGTTAATGTGGCGTTTGCGCGCTAATCGAGTGCGACGACGCGGACTATTCATTTTGTTACGGAGTGTTAAGGCAGGCTCACATGTCGACAGATCTCGAACAGAAATAATTTCACCCCTTCCGCAAGGTATATCTTTAAATCTGTTTCTTTTATAAGTAAATTATCGATTTTTTATCATACCAGTCGTTTCTGAGATCGCACATTCTCGATCGAACGGACTCTCGATGTCTCTATCTTAATCCAAATAAATACAATACCCAGGTACTATAAAGTCAGCTAGATCATCGTTATAACCCATTAAAGTTTTCTAAATAACGCATTAGTAACTGCCGGCATGTAGTCCAACCCTTAACATCGAAAACAAATACATTCGCTGAAGTGGGAGAAAAACAATAATTGAGCGCAGTTCAGTTTATTTACCAAACTGGTACTTTGTGTGCTGTGCCGTGCCCACTCCGCTCTCAAGCTGAGTATTTATCGTGCCAGTCTTCTGGCTGGTTTCAACGTAATATATCTCTCGCATTTTACTATTTATCAACTGTTTAGAAGTCGCGCACTTCGTAGCGTTTGGCCCGCTCTCGTAGCTCGATGCTACGCAGTACGCGGCAAAATTGCCTGTTTTAGTATGTAACAATGGAGATCCGTTTTATTTGAACAAGAATAACGGTTTCAGAAGCATTAAAGAAATGGAGGAGTGACAAGAGTGCAGATGATTATAATGTTTTATTTTTTTCTGTTTCTCTTTCTCGAACTTACTAGTAGGGAATGGAAAAAATGAAGACACCGTAGGAAAGAACACATTTATTTATCTTTTATTGTATCCTATATTTATATCAGAAGAGTTTACTTACATTATAGCATTTGTAAAGAAAAGAACAGTCTTAAACGAACATACAGTAAGTCACTCTAGATAGTCCTTCTAGATCGATTTACGACCGCTTTTCGACGAGTAAATGTATAAACAAACTCGGACCAGTACCAAAAGTATTGTTTTTCCATTAGAAAATGTCCTATTCTCCCAATATTCACTTATTATAATTATACAGTTATGTACAGTTTATTACCATTAATACTATGCTATTTCAATGTCAAAATAATGTACATAATTAGAGCTCGATATATTTTCAATAAAATAAAATCCACAATGCACTTATACCTACGTTTTAGCACAATTGTAATAATAGCCGTGTACCAATAAATTATAAGTCGTGTATTTACAATATTTACATGAAAATAATATTAACACGATTGACCTGAAAGTTATCCACAAAGAACCGAAACAATGAGACGCATACGAGGTTCATTTCGGAAATAAAATATTACTTAAAGAATTGAACTAGCTACGACAGAACACGGAAAGAGAATACGCGCTAACAGGCCAACTATACGTGAAGTATTTACATCATAAGAATAAGTTTAAGCCGTCTGTCGGTCGAAAGCAACGAAATCAACGAAAGCAACGAACGAAGCGGACTCGAATTAGAAAAAAAACGGCCAGAATTTATGTGTGGTACGAGTCTTCGAGCACTGAAAGTTTCGTAACAATGGCATTTCTCATATGATCGCCACTAAACCATTTGCAGTCCTTTAGTGAGGCTCTCGACGTGCTCCTTGGCTTTCATGCGAAGCGCGGCTATGGAGGAGGATCTCGGATCCGGAGGAGCGGGAGAGGGCGCGGCGGCGGGCGCCGGCGGGGTGAGGTAGCTCGGGTAGCCGGAGGGCGGGTGGCTGAGAAAACCCGGCAGAGCGGTGAGGAGGGGCGGGGCGAGCCAGGGGTCCACAGGCAGACCCAGGGCCGAGAGACGGGGCACCGGGGCGCAACCGTACTCCGAGAGGCCGAGCCGAGCCGCTTCCATCTTCTCCTGCCTGCGCCACTTCGCGCGACGGTTCTGGAACCACACCTGGAAGACAAACGGACCTCATTATTCACCACATCGAGCGACACGAGCCGGCATAACGGCGATCTGTGGTTTCGCATGCGATCTTAACATAATTCGTGACACTGCGCTTCGACTTTGAAGACGGAACGAATGAGGCGAGTCGAAGCGAAGTCGGCGATCGATGCGCCCTCTATTCGCCCATTATGCCATCAAAGTTTAACCGAAAGCAGAGTCGAGTTGCGTTTTTGCAATAAATCAACCGACGAACGCGTCGCTAAATATTTCAGACGAGACGCAACGGAACCAAAACGCGAACTCAATCATATAAATGTCCCGTTGTTGTGTTCTTCGACGCGCTTTTGTCTCCGGAAATTAAGCTCTATTTTGTAGACAAATGGGTCTAAGTCCCGACGTCAGTGCGTGGATATAAATTCGGTGTCAAATTCTAGTGTCGAATGATATATTCCCGGGGCGAACCTAAAAATACTCGGTTCGCGTGACTCGGGTGATTCGAAAGGAGACCGACACACGATGGCAATTCGGCGCTCGTATGGGATCCGTTTACGTTGTGTCGACGATAAATACTATAACAACAAGTACCGACACTTCGCGAACAGAACCGTAACAGTTGTACGACGTTACGTTAGCGTGGGGAATGAACCGCGAGCCCCGTGTGGTGGCGGGCTGATATGGTGTCGGCTAGAGACGTCCGCGTCTCTTCATGTCACCTCGACGGAGTGATATACACGACCGTTAATAGAAAGAATATCGCTCGCGTGAAGTAGATTACGACTTTCGATTAGCCATCCCACCGATACTTATTCCTAGATATATAGCAAAAATGTTTTGAACAATGTAACGGGGCCCGAGAGAGCCCGAGGGAGCACTTGAATGTTACGACGAAGTGAAACATTGGCTCACGCAATAATTGCTCAATGTGCTTGTTTTCGTGCGAACGGAGCGATATGAAATCGCTTCGGAAATCTAATTATAACCGAACAAACGCCAACAAATAAGCCTGTTTTGGTAATTAATAATAATAAAATGCTTCGTGAAGGCAGCGAGTGTGTACGCGGGGGCCCGGAGCCCGGGGCGCATAAAGCGCGACACGCGATCTTTTAGGCTTCGCGGGACGATATTCTGATACACGTGTGTCTACTATTACAAATGCGGGAATTATTTTCATCTATACTAATGTTATTAAGAGAAAAGATTTGTATTTTTGTATGTAACGGACAAACTCAAAAAGTACTGGACCGATTTTAATTAATCTTTTTCATTAGAAAGCTTCATTATCACTGAGTAACACAGGCTATATTTAGTACTTGATTACTATAGGCATCTATAGAAAATCTTACTAAAACCAACGGAAGGCGTAAAAAAATTAGCCGTAAAATGTCTTTCTTCGCATACGCTGCGAAAAGTATTAATGATAGGACAAAAAAAAAATTGACAATATTATAGAATATATCAATATCTACAAAAAACATCGCGAGAGCTAATATCATAGCATCTAACTATTGTAGTTACGTCGCTATAACTACTTTTTTACATTTAACAAATTAATAGAGATCCATACCATTTATAAATGTTTATCCAAATGAATAATTGAATATTCAAGACTGTCTCAATACCTGATGATAACTTCTTTAATTATTGAAATCGGACATGCCGTTCAAAAGATATCATGAAATTAAAATAAAAATACATGCCGGCGGCGGCCGCCACGCCGCGCATCTAGTAACTAATTCGACGATAGAGGACCAGTATGCTCCTTACGCAATGGGAGCGAATGAATATTTCGTTTTTTTTTTTATTTATTATTTTCTTTTGTATTATTATTAGTTTATTCTTAATTTCTCTGATTTAAAATAAATATTCTTTATAGCACACTCAACGCTCGCAGCGGCTCCTGAACCAGCGAGATAGACCACGGTCGTTAACAGAGAGGACGCGCAATACAATTTTTTTCTAATTTAGTGATACATGTTCGTTTTAATTAGCACGCTTATAATTTAAATATTTGTACTTATTTATGTCTACCCGTGCGAAGCCGGGACAGGGCCGCTAGTATTTAACAAAAACAGTTCCGAAACTCCATCGAACGGCGGGAATCCCACTCGCGTTGCTTTCTTATTACGTGTTGATTGAATAAAAACGTCACAATAAAAGCGAAGAGCGGTTCCCGCCCGCGCCAACTGTCACAGATAAAAAACAACAATGGCGCCCGAATTTGACATCTGCGAGATTTGAATTTGGAACGACTCGCTCGTAATGTTTGCTACGCGATTGGACGTAACTCAATTATTCGTTTTGGTGAAGTCTTTTAGAGTTAATTGTTTAACAAATTGACTTCGCACTCGACACAATGTGCACTCTGCTATTGCATGAACGGGTGACAGTAATCATTTGCGCACCTAACAACGAAGAAAATTTCAAGTATTGATAAGTTTTTTAGTGTGTTATTTTCAATCTCCACAGATCTAACGAGCAGATCAAGTTTTAACTGTTAAATTGATATCAATTACCCCTTTTACCAGAACAAAATAATTAGCCTTGGTAAAAATATTTAACGATTAGCAAAAAAATTAACGAAAATAACGAAAATTCAACAAAGTAATTTTTTTATACTAAATGATTAATAATAATGATTTTTTTGTCAGTTGGGTGAGTAATGTCGCTTTAACTAAGTACTCGTATGTCAGAACAGGATTAAAGATACATAATTTTAATTAGGTATGTGATACAGCTAGGCACAGCTGTGAAGCTTTCTGCCTTTTAACGATTTCTTTGTAATGTAATGTGTGAAGTTGTGTGTGCTTTTTATATTAAAAAGCGACTTCGTCCGCGTAGAATATGTATTTTGGGCAACCAAATTCCTTTTTGCAAACCCATTCATCTCCCATCGCTCTTGCAAGTTAATCTTAAAAGATAGACATAAAGATTATTTAAAGAGGAATCATTCTTTCATACGTTTCTGCGGCGGAGTACGCCTTGGAAACCCATAATGATGATTATTCATTTCATTTTTTTTCACATTTCTCGCTCTATCTTCGCTTGTATTAGTCACAGGTAAAATGTTTTATCGATCTCGATCTCACTCGATAAATGTTCTAACCTACACAAAAAGCATTGTTCAATTTGAACCCGTAGTTCCTGAGATAAGCGCGTTCAAACAAACAATCAAACAAACTGTTCAGCTTTATATATTAGTATAGATATCATTCTTTAATAATACCCATTTTTAATATTCAAAGAATTTCTGGGCGAGTTGTGCAACGGCAGACCAGTGTTGGGTAAGGGCGGACGGAAGAGCATTTAATACGGTAACTTATAACTAACTTTTTAAATAAATACTTAAACCAAATATTAATAAGGATTATTTCACTGGGGTACATGTATTTATGTATATTAACATTTACAATACCTATAAACGATATATATATATATTAAAGTTTATGTTATGTATTATTTATGTATATTAACGTTTACAATACCTATAAACGATATATACAATCATTTCATCACATGCCCCCGGACTCACCAAAGAAGAACATTCTCTGTAACACCTGGTTGCTTTACCTTTTGTTTTCTTATGGTAACTTACTTTTATTTAAAAAACGTTACGTTGTATTTTTTGTTTAAATCACAATGTTGATTAGTTCCACCATTGGCTGATGAGTAGCTTATGATTGTTTCTTTTATTTCAAGGGTCCCTTAGGTATTCGCTATCGGCCCACACTCCTCTCCCCCTCTACCTACGCTTAACTTAAATAACTTCAAAAGCTCCCAAGAGGAACTTTGCTAATACAAGCATTCAACACTTCAGCCTTATTATTCAACGCACTAAGTCCCGGAGGAGTGTATTTTTTTAATATGAGGCTTGGCCTCAACTGACGCCATTTTATTTTAGGTATTATAAGTATAACATGTCATAGGTATGCGCGACTAAGACTACGAAATAATATTAGGTTTCTTTAAATTGTATACTACATAGATAAATCTTAATTCTTATATTTATCTTTCGATAACATGAAAAGGGGTGATCCGGTAAATATATTTTTCGAAAGAATTACCTCAAGATTCAACAATAATGCGTCTTGTGAACATTAAAAATAAACTTTCATGTAAATACTGTCTATAGTTTACGCGAGTAGTACACATTTAAATAAAACACTTTAACGGTTTAAAACGCGATATATTAGTTAAACTTATTTGAAAATGATTTTTAACTTCGGCCCGACGTTTGCAGCAGCCGTGGTCACGTGACCACGGCTGCTGCAAAGCATCCGAAACGCTCATTTTCAAATAAGTCGGGCCGAAGTTAAAAATCATTTTCAAATAAGTTTAACTAATATATCGCGTTTTAAACCGTTAAAGTGTTTTATTTAAACTTTCATGTAGTAGTAAAGGACAGATAAATCGGGTGCTACTGATCGATTTTATAAACATACAAAATATTTAGTTATTTGTGTAAGATACATATTTGAAGTTGTACCTTATAATAATAAATATCAAACGAAACAGAACATACTTAAATAGACTATGGAGGTTACATAATATTGACTGTAGACAGTGAGTTAAAGGCGATGAGTGAACGACTATACTTAATGCTGTTTGCGTAATGCGTTAGTAAACAATTGTGTCAGTCAAATATTTTTTCTGCGAATTGTGTACTTAAAAAATCGAAACTATTTCTTTTTCGGGCTACATTTAGGTTCTATAGCAACTCTTTAGTTAAATAGAGGGAGGGTTCTCGATTGACAGCTCTACCGCGACCCTGTTGCCGAGTGACAAGTTTCGTCGTCTCGTTGTCTTTTTGCGGACGGCCGCTAGCCGTATCGATTGCGGCGGACGAGGCATTTTCAGACATACATTTGCCTACACCTACGCCGAAACATTGCGCCTTTGTTTATACCGAAGATAAGGAGTAGCGATATAATGTCGATGTCGATATACTGTCTGCCCGTGTAGGATGCCCGCGGCGAACCATTGGTCGAGCTAACACAATTACTACGCCCCGTCGCCACCACCCACCCACTAGGCCTTCGACACGTTCCACCGGGCATTCCAGATATATTTCTGTATCCGTCATAAACCTCTCGTCGCTTTTCCTCGTCTTATACGTCTTCGACGGGAATAGTATTACGAAGACAATTTAGCATTAAGCCAAATGATTAGTGAAGAACAATATATCCAAAGAGGAATGATTTTGGGCAACGATAAGCGAGTTTACAAAAACGGTTTTCAGCGATCGATCGACGATATCTTTATTTACACGTTCCCCTCTCTGCGAAGATGTTTTAAGAAAGAGAAAGAGACGACCAGATTTTCCCATACGAGCGAGCGAGACGCACGATAATCGCCATCTTAGATGCAGCTCCGGACCAAAAGTTAGCCGACAACTCGTTAAGTTCGAAAGAACCTACGACTGAGACGAGTTAGCGGAAAACGGATCTGTATTCTTTGATTATTAAGGTCGTATTTGCGTGCGAGGTGATTTGTTTGGTTCTTAAGGGGAGGGCTCAACGATCTGCTAGTGATGGGGTTCGTCGCCTGACGTCTGCGTCTGATGTTACCTTTGATAAAGACGTAGGATTGCATTTGATGTAGTACGCCTATTAATTTTCGAATCGAAAAATGAGGTTAATAATAGTCTTACGCACAATAAGGGTGAATTACGAATACCTCCAAAAATCAATAGAAAACTAATTAAATTGGCTTCCAAGCCTCTAAGGGTTTAGTTCGAATCCTTGTGCATTCACTTGTGATGGGTAAAGTTTAAAACGTCCAAGACGAGAACAAATTCTCACGTACGACGACGTATGTAGGTTGACGAATATTATTCTACATAGACTTAATAAAAAGGCCATACCTACAGCCCTCGGGCACCTGGTTTTAAAAAGGCAGTCGGGGTGACGCAATTAGTCCGCAATAAACTGTCGACCTCATCAAAAGCACAAAAACATCAATCAAACTGAATTAATCTGCAACTAAATTAACTCTGGCAAACATCGCGTCCCCTTAACGGGAACTCGCAGACGATCGTTGACTTTATTACTGGGGGATAAAGTTTAATTTTGTGTACATACTATATTTAAAACGCCCGGACGACAATGTAGCTCTATTTTCAGCGAAAATAAACCGTTACTTCTTGCGATAAGGTTTAATTTACTTCGTAACAGAGCTCATCTCTTGATTTCAATTTATCTTCAAACCGTTTAACGTTAATACGGAAGGGAAAGTTGTAACTACTGTGGTTTGTTAAATAAATTGAACTCATAAAACAATGGACTAGAGTTGATATTTCATCGTATATAGCTCGGAATAGATTTTTGTGGTGAACATTTTTAAATTTTCTCAAATCGCATCAAGTGCGAAAGGTCGCAAGCGTCTGAATTCCGAGACTCATGAGAGCTGTTTTGGTTTCATGCTTGGAGTACAGAATCGTCTTTACGCACGAAGGCAAGGTGTGTGAGAATACAGCATCGCTTAATACCTTCGCTCTATCTGCAGGAAATGATCGATTGATTGTATTGTCCACTGAAAATAAAAGTCCCGCGGTGGCCGAAGTCGCCGACCCAGACTAACGAAGGCGGCTCTTTTTTCCCAATCAAACCTTTTGTTACGGGTTAATTGCAATTGTTTTAAACAGTTTTCGGCATATCAGAAAACTTTTACGTCCACTGTTTCGGACGCTTTGCAGAAATACGTAGGTACTTACATCTCACAATTAGTACCTTTTTTGTCATCTGCTAAACTCTCGTTTAAATTTGTTTTATTAATGTTTTTACTCGGGTCAAATAATTATTTCACAAGTAATACTGGAGTTGCTAGTTTCAAATTATTATCTACACTAATATTATAAAGAGGAAAACTTTGTTTGTTTGGTTGTAATGAATAGGCTCAAAAACTACTGGACCGTTTTTAAAAATTCTTTCACCATTCGAAAGCTACATTATCCACGAGTAACATAGGCAAAATTTTATTTTGGAAAAAAATAGGGTTCCTTAAAATATTTGGGTTTTTCGGACACAAAGTGTAAAAAATCAACCAGAAAAGTTACTTATTTTGCGTACGCTGCCTAAACTATAAAAGATAGAAGCATAAAATGTTCTAATTAATTGGAGATCTTATAAATATCTACAAAAAAATCCGCGACACACTATACCTATCTATGTCGAGTGAGGCGCAACAACCATTTTTTTATTTAAAAATCTTAATTTTTTTTTGGACTACATTTAAACGCATTTATTTTACTCCTTATCAAAATAAATTATTTCATCACTAAGTACAGTTTATGTAGATAATTTTCTATAAAAGCCTTAACTTCTTCTTTTTCGTTCTGAAATATCTAAAGTAATATTATAAAGAGGAAGGATTTGTATTTTTTGTATGTAATGGGCAAACTCAAAAAGTACTGGACCGATTTTAATAATTCTCTTTTCATTAGAAAGCTACATTATCATTGAATAACATAGGCTACTTTAGTACTTGATTACTATAGGCATCTATAGAAATTCTTATTAAAACCAACGGAAGGCGTAAAAAAAATAGCCGTAAAATGTCTTTCTTCGCATACGCTACGAAAAGTATTAATGATAGGACAAAAAAATGTTCTACAACATTATAGAATATATCAATATCTATAAAAACGCCGCGCATCGAGTAACTAATTCGACGATAGAGGCAGTGGGCTCCTTACGCAGTGGACACGACCGACATTGTATTTTTTTTTAAACAGTTGTATGCTTCACTTAAAAAAATATTTTCAAAGCTACTTAGTTTTAGTATTAGGAATCACACTTTGCATAATGTTTGTCAAAGTTATTTTCAGAACGATCGCTTTGAAGTTGAATATTTTCTTTTGTATTATTATTAGTTTATTCTTTATTTTTCTGATTTAAAATAAATATCCTTCATAGCAATATGCCTAGAATCTCAGCTCAGCGCAGCTATCTAAGAATAGTTCCCAAGGGAGATTAGCAAAGTTTGTCGTATTGGAGAGTCTTCTTCCTAAAATGATCATCAGGAAAGTATTATAGTGTACGCGTCCCAATCGCAAGCCAGAGAATCTATCGTCGAATGTTCAGGTTCGTTTTGCAGAACAAAATACAAGTTCGTCTCAGCGACTTGAAGGAAATAGAGCAAGGAATTCGCTAACGCATGCACGGGACTCTAACACTGAACGCTCGCAGCGGCTCCTGACACAGCGTGATAGACAAAGATCGTTAACAGCTAGGACGTGAATTACATTTTTTTTCTAATTTAGTGAATCATGGTCGTTTTAATTAGCATGCTTATAATTTTAATATCTGTACTTATTTATGTCTACCCGTGCGAAGTCGGGACAGGGCCGCTAGTAATAAATAAAGTAAAAATATACTTTATTTTCTTTAAAATTTTAAATACTTCTATAACTATTTAGTTTCGTCAAGAAAATTTGAAATTGTTTGACTGCCTCTTCGTTGTGATTGTACAGAGTGTTCAAAAGGACAACATAACTGAGAAGATTTTTTGTGAATTTATTAACCTAAGGAGCAATTCATATTACTGCCAATTAAATCTTTCAGATATTAATACGCCTTATGAGAGAATCTAAATTTTATGACTTTAACATATTTATTGATAAATTATAATTATCGACTGGCAAAGTATTATACATACATTATACATACGAATACAATTCCCCGCAAATGAATTAGATATTTTATGGAGCCTATATTTGGGGATAGCTAGTTTATCCTTATTTCTCAAGTTAAAATTATGCCTATCACTATTCTTGCTAAACTTGCTTTTATTTTTATGGGCATACAATAAATTTTCATAAATATACTGTGAGTATACAGTAATACAGTATGGGTATCCCATACCATACATAGCCCGGACCGGATGGACAGCGACTGCGGTTCTACTGACTTTTTCTAATATCTCGGTATTCCTACCGCGTGAGACGCATCGTCGCCTCGGTTGCAGAAGAACAGATTGCGAAACGTATAAGTTGCAAGTGGGCTGTCATCCGCGGGCACGTCGAGATCGCAAAGGGGAAGGGTGCACAAGTTAATAGCTCTCATATCGAGCAAACACCGCGATATTAAGTGAGCGCAAACAGCCCCCCCGCGCCCCTCGCAGCCCTCCGATCCCTGCCCGGGGCCTTGAGAGCTTTTTACAGAGGCTTTCTAATGAAATCGCTGTGAATCGAACGAGTCCTAATGCTCTTTTACACTTAATTGTATTTAGATTATCTTGAGCTTCGCGAAGGACACGTTAGATCTCTTATTCGTATAACCCGAATTAGCAAACCGATGCGAAAGCAAAGCATGTCGGTTCGATAGCTAAGAAATGGGTAAAGAGGTCCAACTCGATTCTAAAAATGTATATTTCGTTTGAAATATATTAGACTTTATTATGAAAAACTGGACATGAAGTGGGTCGTAGGAATATGGAAATTCCGTCCGTTTCTCGAACCACCGTACACTAATGTAAAAGAAGCGAACTAGGTATTCATTTGTGAAACGTTTCAGTTTCAGTCTGTCGATTTGCTAAACTTCGAGACAACAATCTGTTCGTAAAAGGAAGCCTATGAAACTAGAAAAACCGAATTGGAGGGTAGTCGCAATACGAAAGTCGAAGTGAGTCGGCGCGCGAGAGTTGTCACTTGTTTGCCTATTCTGCCTCGCCATTGCCTTTGCTACGGAAGCGTTCGAAGAGTTATTTACGTGACTGTTGTTTTCGTCTACCCACGGTTTTAAGAAGGCGTTAGTTTTCGTGAGTTTATGTGGTTAAAGTATGATAACTATGTGTAGTGGTAAATGTGGTGATTTTCAAATGTTGTGATTGACAAATAATTAATACATTTATTCAACAAAAACAGGTATAGTGTGTGTATCGTCGGTTTGCGTTGCCGTCTTGTGTGACAATGAAACCCGAAGGGAGGATTTTAGGAGTCCATGCATCTACGACCTAGGTATATACTCTACTAATCTCTACGATTGGTTATATCAAATTATAATTATGTTTCGAGTTTGGGTCAAAAAATACTCCGTATCAATGAAAAGACCTACAATACAGGCCAGCTTATCTATTGTGCCCGTTTCGCGACAATGGGGTGACGACGACACAGTCAGATGGAGTTCGGATTAACTTGTAATTGAATGCTAATGGCGCTTTTTGCGATGCAATTACAAATTGTATTTTTTCGTGTGGGATTCTGAAATTGTTTTGTTTGTCAACCCTTGCATTGTTAACGGACTATTGTGGTTATACATTTGGTACTGGAAGTAGTAATTATGTTAACTGGTATCGTATCGTTCAACTATTTAGTCAAATAAAAGCATAAACTAAGTTAAGGCCTCGTAGCATATAAGCTGTTTCAATCATTTTTCTCTTAACTTGCAAACGTAGCGTTGTCGTTACACGGCGTTTCGTCCTAGAAGTTCCTCACCTTAATAGCTAATCTTGCTTAAATTGTTTCAGGGACGACACGGGAGAGGCGGCCGGTGTCACGGTGAGTGCTTTTAATATATATTCGCAACTATTGCGCAACTGAGCGAGTTTTCTCGTCTCCCAATGTTTGCTCTGTCTTTGCCGAAAGTCACAAAGTAAACAGTGAGATTGCAAAGGTGGTGTCGGGTCCGCGCGTGGCCGTCGCGTGCTCGCCACGCGCACTTCTCTAATAGGCCGCAGCTTCGGAGGGCCGACGCGAATGTATCGAGTTACGGGCTAATCACTGAGGTCGGACGTTTAACTAGTGTTTAACTTTGCGTATTGCACGACGTGGGAATTGCGCTCTCGGAGGGACCCCTTCGAGTACCTACACAGAGTCTGCACGAGCAGAGTGTACGAGAGTTATTTAGCAGTGTTTCAATTATTTAAATAATAACGCAAAAATATTAATGATACAGTCACAAACCTCTACCCCGTAACGATTGACCAATCGTGGGTTCTAATATCGAAGGTGACAATTGAAACGTCGAGTAATGCGGCACCGACGCGTTTTTGCTAAAATATTCTTCCAGGAAAAACAATTGAAAAAAAAATTCTCGTTAAAACCCATAAACTGTCTATATATAGCTATTATTAAGGTTTCGATGAAAAAACTAAAATAGTTAAAAGCCATTAAACGAATCGCAAATGAGTCGAGCGGAGCTAGAAGAAAATATAAAGCGTCGTAAAGAACAAATAAGCGGGTCAGCGTCTGCTCCTCGGACGGAGGCTAATTAGGAGGCGTCGAGCAATTCATTACTTCGTTACGTAGTTAGAGGCGACTTTTTACAATTATAAGATGGCGAAGCTTTCACTTTGTTCATTTGCGTACAACTCAAGGTTTCTCCGGATATTTTCGCTAATTTCTAGTTTTTTTTCTTAGTTATCACAACCCTAAATCGGTCGCCGATGCAAAGGAAACCGCCCTTTTGATGAAATCGAACCTGTACCATTATACTCTCATATATTACCTTCAATCCGACTTTGAAGAGCCGTCTCACTTCTGTTCTCAAATATCACCATTTAAAACACGACCACTTCAATTATATATCGTAATTCTATAAGAATAACATTCAAAATTATTTGTCAGAAGACTTATTGCGAGAAAAACAATATTTGGCCTTATTACCGGGCAATACAGTTTAATATCGATTGATAGTTTCTTTAAAGTTTTACGTTAATTCTTGTATCGCACTGAAGTAAGGTTTACTTTCGTGAGTTGTTCCTCGGAGCGCCGACACTCAACACCGTATTGAAGCATTGAATTGTCAAATCGAATGTATAATCTGTTTGAAGTGCCGAGCCCGTTGTTGTTGGCGCTAAATGCCGGGTATTAGGAGAGCTCGCATTTGTAACAGATGACACAAAAACTAACAAACAGGATATTCATTGATAGAGCAGACGAGAATTAGCCACGTTTGAAGACTTTCGAGATATCAGGGATACGAGTTATAGAAGGAACTTTTAAATATTTTAGATAAAACACAACTTCTGAACATTTGTAGCCGATCAACAAATCCTAGCGGGTTCTCATATATCAACGCACACCAAAACAAGAGGAATAACGGAAATATCAGGTTTAAGAGTTCCGCCGTAATCTACACCGACATGATACGGAACCCACTATTCAATAGGTACCATTCCTCTCTTTCTTTGCGCCACCGCTTTACCCTGACCCCTAATTCTCGCATCGGCCTCCAGAATCAAAACTGCGCAGGGCTCTTTTGAAATTGGCTGCATAATTGAATTACCCTTATTAAGCCATTTCCTGTTTTTTTAAAGTTCTTCAACAGGAAGGAGCCGTCAAATTTTAATCAAATTATAGTACAAAGCGAGTTATGATTAATTTCGCTCTATTGTGTATTGATCGGTTAATAACGGGTTATCCTTCGCTCGCTCCTTGTTCCTGGCTCCACTTTTCTGTATTGAGTTAAAAGAGTAATGTTTAAAATTAGTACTTCGCCATTTTTACTGCCCATACACACTGTCGTAGCCGCCAGCGTTTACCGAGAAATATATTATATTCTGTTCAATGTAGCGACAACAGAAACACTATCTTTGAATGTCATTTAACACTAAATATAAAGGGGGCACATGGATAGTGGATAATATTCCTCAATTCGAGAGCAATTTGTTGCAAACGACAACATTCAGTAAATTAGGCGTTAGGAAGAGGGGATGAACAGCCATCATAATCTCCTGATCCCATAAACAAGCGAAAAATAGCCCTCGCTTCGAGAACGCGACGGAACGGGTCGGGCCACTAAATCGGCGACGTTCATTTAGAAACGTTTATGCTAGGGCACATCAATTGTAGACTTTGTCTTTTTCTGTATTAAAAAATAGATATAAATATGGATTTGATTTTACCGGCGTGGTTTTCTATCGTATTACCACTTTTGCGGTAGGTCATCCTTTCGGTTGCACGTTGAAACGCTTGGGCGAAGCGAGCGCGCGTTTCACGGCCGCAGACACCTATCAGAGTAAACTCCATTTCCCCGTATCAAATCGTCGGCAGGCCTCGGCTCTCACGCGGATCCACAATTACTGGGCTTTTGCTTCGGTTATTGAGTTTCGGGCACATCCACTCGACACACTGCCGTCTCCGTCTTTTCGTCTTCGCCCGCCTAAATTTAACTATCGATAACAATCCGCGACCAAGGAGGAGTTTCTAAGACATGAACGGTCTAATGCAACGATGGTTATTGAAGCAGTATCTATATGCACACTCAAATAGTATAAACCATTTTTCTTTATTCATTATTTATTAACTGCGCCCGCGACTTCATCGTTTTTGCGAAGTAGGTAATCTAAAAAAATCGAGCCGTCGTGAACTTTGTTTTAGATCATATAAAGAAGAATAATTATTTCATATATATTTTTTGGTTTCTTGATTTCTATTTCGCGCACGCAACGGCAGCCCTTAAAGATGTGTTTCTTTGCTTCTATCGAAAGCAGCGTGACGTTGAGGCCTCCTGAGAATAACGCGTTCAGATAAACAAACTAATCAGCCGCATAATATTATTTTCGAATTCATTCTTTATTGCAACACACAACACTCAAAGCTTCTACAAATGAGAAAAGTAAACGTTTATTACTTTTATTAAACACGTGAGCTTCAAAAGTAACAATTATTATTTCAACTTTATATTGAGTTTAATAAGTATATTTTGAGTGTCGAAATATATGAGCGAGAACTCATAAATAATATCAGTCTCTACAGTGTACACCTACGAGCGCGTCTTAAGTGAGTTAACTGGTTACCTACGTGTTAAAGTGGTCTGCGCCGTGCAATTTTACTCCACAATTTGGAACTGTTAAAATTAAAAAACATCCGGTCCAAGTGCGACTCCGGTTCCGTACCATTTATCAACTTATTCTTTATTGCACATGATGATAATAATAATACAAATAAAGGTTATATGCCAGAATGGAGTGCAATGGGCGGCCTTATCGCTTACGAGCGATTTCTACCAGGCAAACTAAGATTTAGGAGAAAAAAAATTATAGAGAGGGCGAAACAAATTAATATAAACACAAATAAAAAAAAACATAATTAAAAAAATAGGACGTACAGATCTAATAAAGGTTACCTGTTTACTAACTTTAACAAAAGTACTAAATACATTTAAAATAAATAGATACTCAGTAACTTTACTCAGCTGACAGACAGGAAATGTTTATAAAAAGCCTTTTAAAAGATGGAAGAGGGATTTATTAGGTTTTTTTACGTTGTTTTAAACATCTACCTGTTTTGTTTTTATATCAAGCAAAAACAGGCACAATGCTGAATTTTGTAAAGAGGACCCCTTTTAATATATTTGTTTCAATTAGTTAGAAATGAAAAGTTTGTGAAGATTTCAACTCCCGGGGTATAGCGGTTCTTAAGGTGACAGAACCGATTACTCTGTCACATACATGGTAATCTAGTTGTTGTGTAAATGTTAAGCAGGAGTAGATTTAGTTTAGAAGTAGAAAAAGTATTCAGCGATCCAAACCAAACGCGAAGCTAGGTATTGGCGTGTAATATTGTTCTGTGGAAGTGTGGACCGTAAACTTCGTTATAGTAGTTGATTACGGAGGGGTGTCCGAGGGGTTGGGCAGAGTGGGGGACCAGGGGACGCTAATAAAATAACTGGCGTGCATATCTTGTTATTGCACACGAAAATTTACATGTTTTTTTTACGAACATTATACTATTTATTGACCTCCTCCTCGCTTCGATAGGTAAACTCAATGTCTAGATTTAGAATCACGTTTAAATAAAGACCTTCAGTCTGCAGGGCACAGAAGTGTGATCATTTGGTCATTGTTATTATGTGTGAAATAAAAGTATGTTTTGGTTGTTATGCATCTACATCTAAAATCTCGAATCCATGCCGATAGCACAACATTCTATATTGTCTGTTCGTCACCAAAATAATGTTGTATACTTATTGCCTTAGGACTTCCGCTCTCATGAAAGAGCAAAGAGCGATGCATTTATGTACAGATTATTGCATTTCGGCTCTCAGGGTCGAAACGAATTGAATGTGGGGTTGACATTTTCAGCATAGTGATAATATATAACTTGAGTATTTTATTAGAGAAGCATTTCATTTAAATATGTATATTAGTTGTGTAGAACTTTCGCGCAACGCATCACCTCATCGCGCCATCCTGGCGATGGTGAAGCGCTCGAAGCCAACCTTTTTTTTCTATCAATCGTTCTAAGGGCCAATAAAAATTCGCACATAGGCGGCGTTTATTAGCACTCGGAGTCGAGTGGAGCGTGCCGCTGGATGACAAGAAGGGGGCCCAAGGGGGGCGAAGGGAAGAACAGATGGACCGCTCTGAGAGGCATTCAACAGGGCTTTTGTTGATTTACAGCTATTTATTGCTAATGGCGCTTTTATATGCACTACTTTGGCTAGTGAGGTTTGCGTTTATCGAGAGAGCGGGTCGCGACGTGCGAAATGCGACTTCGGAACGAGACCCGACAAATTAACCACATCAATCAACGATCATGGTGGGCCCCACATAAGTCACACGAGTATTTAATATTTTTGTTTTTTTTATTATCCAAAGAGAGTGTTATTCTAACGACATCGAAAATCTAGAGTTGTGCAAAAAAATATTTATATCTATTTAATTAAAACACTTTAACGGTTTAAAACGCGATATATTAGTTAAACTTATTTGAAAATGATTTTAAACTTCGGCGCTACGTTTCGGATGCTTTGCAGCAGCCGTGGTCACGGAGGGGGTCACGGGATATATTTATATCTATCTTCTTCGATACGTCCTCTCGTCCTCTCCGATAACGGAAATGATCATCATTGATGACTACAAATATAATTGTCATTAATCCCGCATCAGGCGACCGTTCTGTACTTAGGGACTTGTTCGGGGGCCAATGATGTAATCAGTTCTCATTGCATCGCCTGGACTCAAAGCAAACAAAGCCTCCGATTATAATTAAACTATCGAGCCCTTATACTGGCTCGCAGCGTCGGCAACAAAGAATAACAAAAGTGATAGTGATCGTATGTTATCTGATTGTACTATAAGAAGCCACTCACTCGTGAATCTGTTGAAGTGCCACGCCATTGTCAACGCGAACATTGGATCCTAACAGCTTTATACGTCCCTAGTGAAAGCGCACTTAAGGAGCAAACACATTTATTGCTAAAACGATTTTTTTCTAGTGTAATGTCTTTCATGTGCTGATGAATTGATTGTCCAGTAATTTTTATATCAATTTACTCGTTTACCAGAAACTTATGTGTCTTGTAGTTTTACACGTTACAACATTTTTTTCCACCTGCTACTATAATTCACTTTTAAGGCATTCGCTGTGTCTTTAGTATCGTCACTTCTAGTAACTAACTTACACTTTAATGAAATCATGTTCTAGAAGTGTACAGTCTAATAGTAAATACAATGTAAAATTCAACGAGTTAGCAGTCGAAAGAACGAGTCACGAGACAGGCGTAATGAAAAAGTTAATGAGAACGGAATTGCTAACAAAACGCTCATTTTCTCCGAGTTCGGACGCAAAAGGGTCACTAATTGATCTCTCACATACAGACATTTCACGTAACTTCACACGGTTTATACGGTTTATAAGACGATAATGTACCCAAATGGCAAACGATTCTTCGCTAACAAGCGCTCGACGCTTAGATTTTGGAACTTAAGTGTCGACGGGATGTTTAAATCCGTTACAGACCTAAATTTAAAGTTGCTCAAATATTTGCAAACGGGAATTTACTTAAAATTAGCCGGCAGACGAAGGTAAATCTCGTAGTAGGTAAATTGTCAAGAATATTTTGTGGGCATATCTGTATAGTTTTTCTAGATGAAGGGTTCTTTACGGTCTTAATTTTTTCTGTTTCGATGACCGAACGCTACGACGCGGCGTAAGAAGCAATTAGGGACGTGAAATTCGCGGGACCCCGAATGCCATTCCGGTGATACGTTTAGGATTGTCGGGGTTCGGCCGACATATGCTCCGTGGGGTCGGGATAAGCCCCTCGGGTTCATTATATTCGAAGCCAATTTTGTTTGCGAACTTTACTTAATAAAGGGCGCTTTTCGTTTAGTTTCCGATATTAAATTATGGACGGATTAGATTGAAATGCGGTTTATTTGCGAAAGAGGCAATTGTTTACTTCGTTTGAACGGCGAAAAATCGCTTATTGATGACTAACCGACGGCGCGGTTCAGCTCATCTACGAGAGTTATCAAAGCTAAAAGCTTCCATATTTCGTAAAATCACTTTATAAGAACGATTATACCAACTATTTAGGTTTTAAGGAAAAACAGACATTGAATCTTGCAATACGAACCTGTACTCTGACTTCCGGCAAGTTGACCTTCATGGCCAGTTCTTCCCGCGAATAGACATCGGGATAATGGCTCTTCTCGAAGGCCCGTTCCAGTTCGTGTAACTGGTACGTGGTGAAGGTGGTCCTGTTCCGTCGATGCTTCTTCTTATCCGCCGCGGAGCCCGGCCGTTGTGCCTCCTCATCGTCTGACTTGTCCTCGGTCGCTTGGTGGTACCCATCGTTGCTATTGCAGGACCCTTCACCTGTAGGAATATACACTTTGATTGCTTTCTGCCACTAAGCTGGTCGGCGTTTTAACCCTCTGTCGCTTGAACTATTTTTATTACATTTCTCAGTTACAATAGTAATCATAACATAAAGGAAAAAATATCCATGAAATGAATGAAAACGTGCGGCTCCATTAAATGCGTTGCTCCTAAATACACGGAATAAATCTTTCTCCTAATATAACTACTATCCTGTCTTTCGCGGAATTGGAAACGGGAAAAGTCGAATAAACATTTCCCTGCATAAATATGGTGCTAAGTAGTGTGTTTTGCTAACGACTTCCTCTATATAAATCGTCCGATAGTGGCTGCCTACCGAGGCACATTCAGGCTACAATTAGTGATAAACACGATGTGCCAACACGGGATCCCAATACGGCCTACTACCTAATACGGCCGTAAGTGCTGCGCAAACACATACATCATTGGAACCATAATCACCCGGAAAGCGAAGACAGACACGGATTGTAGAATAAGGGATTTACCTATATTATATTTTATTTCGCTTTGTTTGAGTCATGCTACATTTTTGTGAGTAACAATGGGTAGACAGAATCATTATTGTTTAAATTTTAAAAACAAGAGGGACATTTAGCAGATATAAAACGTGTACGAACGCCTTGTGGCCCCAAATGCGAGGCCCCAAACGGGCACATTAAGTGGGCGAGCGGTGTGAGGCGAATCAGACTTGTTTGTGTATGTTAATGAGGTAGAGACGTTTGCTTAATGAAATTATATTCAAATGTGTTGGAATACATACATTCGCTTTTGATTAATACAAACACACTCTTCTATAGCTCTTGTTATCATATCTCATTATTAGGAGGCATTTAATAATGGCGTTTTCTATGTTACGTTATATGACGTCTTTTCTTTATTGAATAGCAACCGTTTATCTAAATATATGTATATAGTTAGTAGCGCGATGAAAAACAATGCGTATAAAGTTTGTCTAATTTGTCCAACTGTAAAAATAAGTCTCAATTGAATTGCACCTCCGCGAAATTTTGCCAAAAGTAAAACTAGGTCCGTTTATGTGTGGTGTATCTGCTTAAAATATTGGAAAGGGCTCAGCGATGTTCAATGTTGAATATTCAGTCCGTAAGTCGATGCAATTAGAGCGATAAGATCGGAACAAGCCGAGCTGTAACTAACACGCGTCTATACAACACGATTCGATATGAATTATTGTTTCATGATTTCCCTCTATTACTTAAATCCACCTAGTTCGAACCCCCTGTACAACTATTACTCTTTTAGTTGAATGATTTATTTTTGGCTTATTATGTCTATCCAAGCCTTAACGGTAAATGATCATCTATTACTAGCTGTCCCGTCGGTCTACCGAGTTTATTAAAAGTAGACAAAGCGAGATAGACTAATTAAAGATAAACTTACCACGAGATCTTAACAATTCTAAACAATTAGCGCAATCGCTTCAATTTAAATATGCCAAAGTAGAATAATCTTAACGACATCTACGGTCGGGTGGGCACAAATTGGCCGGTCAAAGCCAACACGACAATCTGTGAACCGAACGAGATTGTACAAATATTATAATTGAATCCCGACGTATCTCCGGCGATGTCATTCCGAATGACGATTAAGAAATCACGTCTCTTGCGCAATCTCGACGTCCATCTCAATGAGAGTCAAAACATCGCTACCAAGCGGCGGTCTCGCTCGCCCGGCGTCTTCGGCCGCCGCGCGAGAGGGACGGCGCGACGCCCGTAGAAAACAAATAAAAGCACGATAGGCAACGCATTAAGATGTTTTACACTTATCGCGATACAATCTTGTCTTTTTTGTAATAATTATCGTTAATCTGGCAACACTCGCGGCATTATCGCGCATAATGGGCTGTCGTTGTTTTTTTCACTGGCAACCCTAATCATGTGTCAGATTTGCCGTGTTGCTACATATTAAACCTCTTCGGCTTTAATGATTTTGAGTGGATTCATTATTAATTTATTTTTAGTTCGATCTCTAATGGTAATAACTAATAAGAAGTAACTATGTTCTCTTATGTAGACTTTTACTGAGATCAATTTAAGTTTATATTAGTAATCATTTTTATGGATTAATGTCAAAACATAATCCATAAAAATGTTGATATAACAATAACTTTAAGTAATATTTAAAATAATATCTGTATGACAGTCTGTGTGTGTCTGTGCGTTTAAATAGGTTTTGATAAAACGAAACGACTATATTATGTTCAGTCATAAACAAACGCCCAACCGAAGCCAACCAATCAAAATCGATTCAAATTGAATAATCGGACAATAATCGAGCGCTTGATTAGTGAGGGGGAAGTCGATTGCGGTGACAATCGATTTGCAATCGCTATTACAGTGACATTCGATTACTGGCTGACCGCCGGCTGGCTTCCTCATAGTCGCCGTTCGCATTACTCTATGCGCTATACCTATGACGCAGTTTATACTTTGCAGTCTATCTCGTCAAAATGGCTGTCACAGTGCCGTTTATGGTTATAATAATATGGTATTATGTAGTAACTGTATGACTTCGCTATATTATGTAAATTAAAGGGCCTGAACCTGTTTGTTCGTTTTTAATACATAATTTTGGTTACTTCTTATCCGCTAGTAAGATAGCATGAAACTTCCTGATTTAAATTTAAATTTTATTTGGTTTAAATACTATTTATTTTCTATTACCTACTCTGTTTCTCCACTGTAAATGTCCCTGAAAAATATAAATAAGTAAATATTAAATGCCATTGCCGACTTTTAAATGTAATTATTTATGGGACTAATATTTTTCTTAATTTTCGAGAAGGTTCTATCGTACCGGCCAAAAAGGTTAAATAGCAGAGCGCTAATTAATACAAAATGAACTCGCAATTAACGAATTACGCGCAGTCGGGCACGCGATCTTTCATAATTGCCTAATTCTTAATCGCGCCTCGTTAAATATTTGTTTTCTTGACTGTTGTAGGTGTACCAATTAGGACAAAGTTTTCCTTCAATTTAACAACCTGTGCGTTTATTTCAAGCTAACTCTAAAGCTGGAGCTACCAAAGCCTAAATATTCCTAAATTATTTGCACCCACATCGATTTGTTTTCAATAAAGTAACAACATGTCTACATTCCATTCGTGCACTGCGGTCGACCTCCTTATGTACTAGTCATATAAACTATATTTATACAGTTTTATGATATTTTTATACGCTGTTCAAGTAACTTTTTTAATTTAAATAAATTTTGTCATATATTCGATTTGAAAGTGTAAAAAATAGAAGCTTAGCACGCGTAGCACTTTGCTACGACGAATTCGTTCTTAATTGCAAAGTAAGGCTACTTTTTCGTAGCTGCTAAGTGCTACGTCCTTAAATTTCTCTTATCCCTTTGTTTCAATTCCAATTTGAATTATTTCAGTTCCATCAATAGATCATCATTTATATTTTTAATCCCCAGATACTTCACGAGAAATTTTTTAAGAAAAAAAATTTCAGAGATTTTGTAATAATTTTAGTTGCCACGGCCGTTAAAATAATACGTAAAGTGAAGGAAATTAAAGCCTTTATATTTACATTTTATTAATTACTAGCTATGTCAGCGACTTCGTCCGCGTATAATAGTTATTGTGGGCGACGAATTTTGATTTTGCAAACCTCTTATAGCTTAAAGCCTCCATATATGCTCTAACACAAAAATATTTTTTTACGAACTAGTAGCTCCTGAGATTCGCGGGTTCAAACAAACTCTTCAGCTTTATATATTAGTATAGATTATATTGTTAATTAACGATTATGCGGTAAGTATGATTGTAACGAGAGTACTTTATTTATTTAATGAAGAGTCAATATTTGTTCATTACTTTTAATTAAACACATTTAACGAGCTATGTAAAGCCATTCGAATACGAGATTGTTCTTAATATTACGAACTGGATCGATTAAAGTAAATGACGACGTTTTTATTTGTAAGAGTTGACTTTGAAATATGATGTTGGTATAAGAGAAGATAGAAAAAATAATATTGTATTTGTTAACCAAAAACAATAGATTAATTGGCTTTCGATTAATTCGTTAAACGCACACAAAAAAGGAACATTATTAAATGTGTCAGTAGTTTATGCTAGCAGTACATTTAAATAAAACACTTTTACCGGTTAAAAAGGCGAAATATAGTTGCATTATTTACTATTTATTTCAACTACGGCTCGACGTGTCGAATATATAAAACTATCCCGTGTACGGTAACCGTCACAGCGGACGTGTCGATCAACTGCTCTCAATGTTTTGGCGAGCATTGTGCAAGTTAATGTACGTACATTAAACTAATCAACCAACTGATCTATCAATTAGTCTAAAGACCAGTTTATTGGTTGCCGCTAATTAAAAAGCCCAAGAGTTTCTCAACGTTTAACATAATAAGTAAATGTCTTGCCATCGAATTATTAGACTTTTAAACGTATGCAGTTTTCAAAGAGTTTTTATGAAGTTTTATTACTATTCGTAGATATTATGGACGTCCTAAGGTACTGAAAACGGTACGCGTAAACCGTTAGACAGTTATTAGCGGTTTTGATTAATATAGTAGTAGTTTGACATAGCAAAAATGCAATTTATATACATGTAATCTGTATATTTTGTTTGTGCTTATTGCTTACGTCAAATAAATGCGAAGATTATTCCTACTAACTACTAATTTTATGAAGATGTTGTTAAATGTTAGTTGGCCAAGTGAGATTGTGTACGACTGCTTCGTAAACCACACTAGGGACGTATTCATATTTTTATCTTTTTTTAGTTATTATAAGTACGTATATTATATATGTAGTATATGGAGGCAAAATAGGCAAAGTATGCTTTTTTGTACATTCAATTTATGTTTAGTATATGTTGTGTTACATATATGTACATGCATATTTTGGGAAGATTTCATCTGTCTATCGATCGACGTTTATACATAGGCCTGGTGGCAGAGTGACAGCGAAGTCTTACTATTAAGGTTCCGCTTCTCTTCTTTGGAGATAAAAACCTAAAGACGAGAATAAATATTAATTTTGAGAATTTCCGGTGCGTTCAGAAAAAAATACAGCATAAGGTATTCTCAATTATGCCCTCGCCAACCCTCGGCTGTTTTAAAGCATCTGGAGCAGCGAGTCGTAATACTAGTACTTGGCATTCGCATATATACCTACTAGATAAAAATTCCTCTTTTAAAGAGTAAGTTTTTGCGAGACTTTTTACAATTTTTTGAATGGCTAATAAGTTTTGATTGTTAATATTTGGGCTATATTAAATTAGATAAATCGCTAATTGACATGACATTTTTTTTAATCATTAAAAAAGGAATAATTCTTTCATACCAAAAAGGTATTTCCAAATTTCCCACTGTGTCTTCGCTCCTATCGGTAGCAACCTAATGGGTTTTAGCCTAAAGCCTTCCTCGATTAATGCTCTAAAATAAATGTTCAATTCGAACCAGTAGTTCCTGAGATTAGCGCGTACAAACCAACAAACTCAACTTCAACTTATAATCTATACTAATAATATATATAAATCTGAAGATTTTGTTTGTTTAAACGCGCTAATATCAGGAACTACTGGTTCGAATTGAAAAATCCTTTTTGTGTTAGTTAGAACATTTATCGAGGAAGGCTATAAGCTATAAAACACGCGCTGTGACTAATAGGAGCGAAGAAGCAGCGGGAAATGTAAAGGAAACGGGAGAATTTTTTCATATCTGTGGGCTTCCGATGTATACGCTGCAAAAACGTTCAAGATATTCAAAAAATATGTATGAAAGAATAATTCCTTTTTGAATAATCTAAAAAAGTCCGCGACACTATATATCTGTCTTTGAAGATTAACTTGTAAGAACGACGGGATCCGAAGGATGGGTCGCGGGCGACGCGACGCGTCCGAGGTCGATGTCGGATACCAGTTTAAATTTATATACATGAAGAGGAGGTTTTCAGAAACAAATTTGGATGCCCAAAGTAACTATTGCACGCGGAGGAAGTCGCTGGCACAGCTAGTATTAGTATAGATATCAGCGCTAGATTCTCGTGTCTACATATTAAGTTTTATATTTTATTTTTTATCTCTTTAATTTTTTTTTCGTTGGTTTATCGCAGGTGGTATCACATTATCAATGTAGACTAACGATTTAAATGTATTTATCATTTTTACATATATAACGCCAACAAACGTTGGTGTTTTTAAAAACAATATGATTTATCTGTATGAGTTTAGACACATTTATTTATAACTCAAGCGTAGTTCAATTTTAGTCTTCCTTCTACCGACTATCGTGACATTATCGTAATACTTCTAGTACTAAATACTGTCTATAGTTTACGCGAGTAGTACACATTTAAAAAAAACACTTTAACGGTTTAAAACGCGATATATTAGTTAAACCTATTTGAGCATCCGAAACGTCGGGCCAAAGTTAAAAATCATTGTCAAATAAGTTTAACAAATATATCGCGTTTTAAACCGTTAAAGTGTTTTATTTAAACTTCTAGTACTTCCATACCTAGGGAAGTTTTTTTATTAACTTACGTGCTTCAATATCGCAGAACATGTTTGTACATATTGAAATATCAATAGTTTACGTTTACTCCTTTATCCATTGTTTAAGTTAAAGCATATAATATATACAAATAAATATATACAAATATGTTATATTGCCCAGAGCGAAAGTAGCTTTCTAATGGTTAAATATTTACTTACGATCTTGCAAGATTGAAAATTTATTATGTCATTACACAAACTCACCCAAAAATAACAAATTTCTACTCTTTAATGGAGATGTGTGTTACACATCGATATTACAGCGAATTTTGTACAATATAGAGACCATACTATAATCTAAAACGTATTTTCGCTTGCTAATATTAATCTATTATTATTATGCGAATGTCTTATGTATTTAAAATTATTATATACTAGCTTTGCTAGCGACTTCGTCCGCATAGAATAGTTGATTTGGGCATCAAAATTTGGTTTTACAAACCGTTTTTTTTTTCAAATTTCCCAGTTCCTCGATAAATGCTTTACAATCTACACAAAAAAAGAAAGCTTTTTTTCAACTCGAAGTTGTAGTTTCTGAGATAGCGCGCTCAAAAAAACAAATAAACTTGTCCGCTTTATAATATAAGTATAGATTTTGTAAGAAGCTGCTGTCTGAAACCTAGTCTTTTGAAGAAGGCGCGAGCTTTTCCGGTCCTCTCTGAGACAATTTTCCGTCTTTATCACAACAACTTACGTTTCCTGAAGTTGCAGTGATCACGATAGGTTCTGGGTCCCAAGCTCGGGAAACCGAAATTTCATTTTGGGTAGGACAGCGCACAGTACTCTGATCAAATACTTAATAATTCTATCGCAATGGATATTGTTCTGTAATGGTAGAATATGTTTATAGTGAAAATAAATAAATAAATACTTGTCAGAAAATAAAATCCTCCATTGAAACGGACATGTATTTATGTTAGGAAGGCTCTTTGTTTGCTTTTAATTAAAAAAAATAGTAAAATTTCGTTACGACTATTCTTACTAGTTTTAAAATATTCTAACGGAAGAAATCAACCGCTGTATACGTTCAGTAAGCGGTGCTTAGCTTTAAATGGTCAAGAATCGAAATATCAATATTATTTTCAATCCTATCATTATAATCTCTATATTCTAACTCTAAATTTTTACAATTGAATTACAAATAACTACAATGAGTTTTAAGCATAATATAAACTTCATACGTTTTAAGGGACTCCACTTGTGTAAACACGCACAAAAAAAAAGCGCAAGTCAATCTATCTTAGGCTAAAATTACATATAAAAAAGAAATCAATTTACTCAATAACTTAAAATTTTAAAGAATATAAAGAGAGAAGATGGAATGTACCAGATGAATGCCAACGGTCAATACCGGGTACCGCTTTGAGTGTGTGATTTTTATATACGATATGTTAGTACAGTACAGTATTGTGGATTATTTTTTATACATTTAAAATATTAGCACATTGTTAATTAAATAATAGAACTACAAAAACAGTAGCAGCGTCGTCGTCGACTCACCCGCGCTCTCGACGGCCCCCGGCGACACGGGCACCGGCTCACAGTCCCTCTCGTCTCGTCTCTCGAACTCACTCACTCTCTGTCTGGCCCCGCTGAGGCCCAGGATCGCGTCGATCGTGTGCCGCGGGCCCTGAGCGACACTAGGCACTTGAGTCAACCCTAAGCGGGACTTGACGGCGTCGAAGCTCTGGTTGAGGTGCATCTGCTGCGCGTGGAAGAACATGCCCATGCGGTTGAGCGTCTCGAGGTTGTGCCGGTGCTGCGACGCGCTGAGCGACTCGCGCTGGTGGTCGGTCACGTTGATGGACGAGGTGGAGTTGGGGCTGCTCATCTGCGAGCGAGGGCTATTCGTCTCGGAGCGGTCCGGCGTCTGAGAGCCGAAGAAGCGGTCTTCCGGCGCGTCCATCGTGCTCGGCTGCGGGAGCGCGACTGAGCCGGCCGCGTCGGGGTCGCGAAAGGGGCGGAGTCCGGAGCTCGGGGGCGCAATTGCCCGTTGAAAGTGCGAATTTTGGGGTCGCGAAGTGATTTTGTTTGGGAAAGCGCGAGGAGTATTAGCATTTTCCCCTTCGTTCCGCGTACTATTGAAGCGTTCGATAGTGTTTTTCACCTCTGATTGGGCCGATTGTGAGGAGCGTCAGTTCTTCGAAACGTTTGTAAGATTCGTTTGCGCTTTGACTATAAGTGGCTCTCGACAGCTCCATTTGGGAAATTCAAATTTTTACTGAATGCTCCATCCCTGCATTCGATATTACGTTATGCGTATTCATGATAAGTAACAAACGAATATAATGATTAAATGGCATTGAGATGCAAATACTCAAGACTAGATCGATTTATCGTCTTCCTTTCGCTTCACAGAAAAGCACGCTTAAAATCAATTTCAAAAAATGTCAAGCAAAGTTATTCATACATTTATGCGAGATAAAGTATTAACTAATGAGTGACGCAGCGGTCAAGTGCGAGCGAGCAAACACCCGGACAACTGTCTGTTAGCACACCAATTTAACCAAATCGGTTAACCGGTAACCCAACAATAACAGCTCATAGGCACCGTCTCCACACAACCTTTGGCCAGGAAGGAGGAAACGAAATCGAGCTCAAACGCCTCGGGATTAAGCTCAATGTCAAACGAAGATTGTAGTGTCGATGTGTCGCTTTGAGATCGCGTGTAAACGGCCAGCGTTGTAGTTGTCCCGCTCTGGCTCATCTCAGTGTAGCGACGGTTGCTAGGGGGCGTGGCCACCGTGACGTCACCTGTCCGTCGCCCAATCGAAGGCGAGAATTTTTTGTGTAAGTGGATCTTTTGTTGGCGTTTCTTTTGTCGCGGGCGCGTGAGGGTTGACTTCGACTAGTTGCGACGAAATAACATTAGCTTTTGACGGGTTTTATTTTTTTAATTGTCTGCGTCATTAGTAGCTCGTTATCTTAGGACAGGTTACTGAGCAAATTGCTCCGCGAAATTCTATTAACTTTGTTACGAGCGAAATTGTTTTTGGAGATTATCTTTTTATCGAGTTGGACGTTTTCCACGCTATCTCAAATGGGCGGGTCAGCTTAGAAGAAAACATAAATATAATAGCAATAAATATTAGATAGTTTTTGGCACAATCAATAAGTTTGCCTAGTACCCAAAACGGAGTTTGTAATATTTCTAAGGTTCTTTCGGCGGTCTTTCTCAATTATAAAAACAAATGCTTCTGTATATTGTATTGTGTAGATTAAAATCTACGTAGTCACTAATACGCTGCCAGACGAACCTCGAGCAGTCCTTATTAGCGCGACTTCGTGGCGATAATACAAACATTTACGGTGTAAACCGTGAAATTTAGTAACTAATCCTTTTTACAAATTATTTTATCTACGATAAAATATTTAAAAGTATTTTATTTAAACGTGTGAAGTAAAGGACAGGATTTATATTTATATGTTTCCGCCTCTGTAGCAAAATGGTTAAACGTATTCCTAGCATTGCGTTAAGTGCGAGAGGTCCTGGGTTAGAATCCCAGGGCAAAAAAAAAACTTGTTTCGGTCGGGCAGGGCACAGAAGTCTGATCCACTACTTGCCTGTTAAAGAACGGATCAGTGAAACGAACACAATAATGTGTTCGCCCCATGCCCCACGAGGGGAAACGGGATGTCACAACTAAATATATTTTTAGTTTATGTAACGCCATCATGTACAATATTAAGGTATTCCAGCTGTCTTTTTAACTGTGTGTAATCCTTCGTTTGTGTACCTGAAACGTATTCGTGCGAATATGGACAATGTCATTCATCGCAATGATTGCTTATTGAATATTTGAAACCTCTGCCCTGATTACTTTCACGCGAACAATTTTATACTAATCAGTCGTTGCGCGTCGTTTTTGTACGAATAATCAATTTTCAAATGGTTTCGTTAATGGCGCCATTAACGGCTACGGCTTTGTCAATTATTTACTCACTTTTAACACTTTCATTATTATTGAATTTCCAAAAACAACTTACAATTATTCGTTCAATAACTTTGCAAACTTTACTATTTTTCACATGATGGCATTGTAGAAATTAAAAATGTATTCAGCATTTAAATAAAACACGTTAACGGTTTAAAACGCGATATATTAGTTGAACTTATTCGAAAATGATTTTTACTTCGGTCCGACGTTTCGGATGCTTTGCAGCAGCCGAAACCGAAGCCGGAGAGACATCTCCCCGTGACCACGGCTATATGGCGTTTTAAACCGTTAAAGTGTTTTATTTAAATGTGTACTACTCGCGTAAACTATAGACAGCATGTATTCAGCATTTACCATACAATTGCTGCTGTTCTGTCGCTTCGGATGCTAGTTTATACATAGTAACTACATTTTTAATAAGGTGTAATAACTTAAGGAATGAAAACTATATTTATAATAATTTTTGTACATTCTTTGGATTCAATTAATTGTAGTTGGAAACTTTTTAAAAATCAATTTTCTCGACTATTGTTTTGTCGCTGTAAGTTTTCCACGTGCGAATAAATAAATAAGTACAGAAGCTTACTTACCTTGCATAGTGCTTAGATAGTGCAAAGATATGAGAGGGTGCATTTAACCGCCGATAACATTTCCGAAGCGCTTATTAAAGTATTGATTGTTCTGGCGAGCTAATGAGCGTAATTAGTGAAACAGCGGGCCATGGAATAACGCCACAACGATATTGTGCTCCGCACAAACACCGCTTCACAGATTGGTCTCGACTCTGTAATATTTGGCGATAGGGATGCGACACCGCACTTCATGTTTCATGACACTTTACTGTCTAATAAAGTCTAATAAAGCCATGTCTAACTTTACAGTATAGTAATAATCAAGAAGAGAAGAATCCATTTTACTTTGGAGAATCTTAGAAACCTTCAACTACCCAGAAGAGAATAAGCCTGCACATATTTCCAGTGCCCCTTTGTTTACTTACTCAAACAATTATTTCCTTTTATTCCAATACCTCTTGAAATCTGCACATCTTCGACTGTCAAAGAGAAGTATCGACAACGGCTCATCCTTACGGAGTTGTCAGTTGACAGCGAACGCAGTAATTGTTGAATGAGGCAGCATTAAAGCGCCAATTAATCGACATTGATTGGTTTTCATAGCCCCCTGGCCCCCCTGGCCCTCTCCCACACCCCCTCTGCCCCGATGGCCCTGAGTAGCTATTGGTTTGCTTTATGTTTTGCTTTGTTTCTGGTGTGAATCGTAATCTAATGAAGATGTGCGATATAAATGAGTCTAAGAGAAATGATAAGAATTAATTACAAATAAAATATTGTTGAAATTGAAAATAAACATTTTAAAATTATTAATTTGAATGTGTAGATACTATTCGCGTAAACTGCAGACAATTCTTAATTGAAATTAAATTATGTAGAATGTACGAGCGTAACGTAAATAAATATACATGTATGATGTAAAAATGTTTAATGAAATGTCCTTTTCTGAAGCTGTTTAGTCACAAACTGGCAGACTGAAGCACGCGAAAGAAGTGTTACGTCGACAATTATTGCAAGAAAATGTAAGTGACTATTTAACAAATATTAAATGTCGTCACTTCAATTAATAATAATACAAGAATTAAATGATTAGTAAATTAGCGACGCAAAATGAATCTGGCAATTCTCTATAACGTTAGACTTGAACTTTTTATCTGATAAGAAAAGTCCCAGTTCTGCGAGATGTAGCTAACTATGAGAATAGAATGAGAATTCAGAAATAGAATGATAATGTAGTGGTAGTAAACAGCGCATTATCGAATGGTAAACTGTGAAAATAGGAAAAAAGTGTAGTAATAAAAAGAGGGGTCGGAGTGCGGTCGAGGTTAAGAGTGGAGGGGGGAGGCCAGCACAAACCCTTGAGTTAATTAATAACTCGGTCGCCGCGCAGATATTAATGTCGGACTCTGCGGGCGACTGTCCTGTGACTATGATTCTTCGTCTGCGCGGATATGACAAGACAACGCTAATAAAAGGGATACCCTCATATAATTTAATAAAATACTTCATAAAGCATTGATATTAAACTAATAACATAACATAGAAATAACTACAAATTTGCAAATACAAGGAAAAGTTACAATTATGGCCCATCATAGAAAATATAATTCTAATTTCACATAATGCTTACTAAATACAGTATTTTAAACATTTTCTTATTTTCACATGCCCAATACTAGATAATGATAGCGGTATATAGATTATACTAATTTTATTACCATAAAACACAGGTGCATTAGTGAAACATAATTTCGTAACAAATTCAAGTGTGTGTTTACTACATTAAACCTACTATTGCAACATATTGACATAACTAATAATACAGACTTTAAAGAACGTCGCAGTCAACTTGGCTATCCTCAGAGATCGCAAAGCGTGGAGGCATTAGCGCACCTGCGTCTGTCGTGCTTTGATCACCGAATTATCCTTATTTCTCTTGTCCGATTGTTACCTCCGAAGAGTTAGTCTATAATTACTTGCTCTAATAACGTTATTGATTTAAATCTAATGACCATCTCTTTGCTTCAGAACCAGACTTACTGCTTTCCTCTAGCTGAGAAGTTCAATATTCTAATAATGATGTTGAATTGTTATAATTTTTCTTCTACCTGCACTGCACAAAGTGTACTACAATTAGTAATTGCCAAATATAATCCAACCTATTGTAAGAAATAGTAAAATTCACAATATTTATGCCAATCGAAAAACCTATTTCAAGTTATAACATCTACGTAGCGTTATACAATAAGTAATTGACCAAATGAAAAAGTGATTTTCAACCACGCAATCGACCGCAAACATCGTAATTTTTTACGGGATTGTAGAACGCCGTAGAGATGTTATCGCGGTCATTAACGAAAGTGGTTTGTCATTGATTTGAATCGATTCTGAAATGCAGCTAATTTGTCGATCTGCCAGATAGGGTAAGTGGCCGCCGAGGCACGAGCCGAGGCTTTTTGCACACCTCGGCGTCGCTAATTGGGCATCATCAGTCCTTGTTCATCTTTAATCCTATATTTGGAATGATCGTTTTCTTGAACACGTTAAATTTACAGGTCCACGGACGAGAAAATCCTTTTCTCACTACCATACTATTTCCAGTACACAGAATACTTAATATATAAATTTATGTTATTAATAAAAAAATATTTTTGTGTTATATTAAATATAGTCCATATAATAGTCTAATATTTATTGAAACAGCGAACTCAATACGTATATTAAACATAATTGCGAAAAAGTCTAAAACGGTCTAGAACTTAATAACCCATATACCTGGTATATATAGTAATGAGACCGTCTGAAGATCAGGCCGTACCTATATATACTTAATATACACTTTAGTATGTGCCGAGCCTAATGTCTATTTCTTTTTTGTTGTTTTTTTTTTATATATTTTTTGTGTATGTGTAGAAATTCAATGTTCTATTTTAGTTACACATTGATTCTAAGTCCTTAGCTTACCTTGTTTATTGTATAAATAATTTAATTACCATAAGTGATTACGACAAAGAAATGTACCTAGTATAAATCTACATGTCATTTTTATTGGATATTTGTAAGGCTGGTGTTACCGTCTTGTGGGATACGAAGGTGACTAATCACTTGTAACTGCTGTTATTGTTAGCCTTACAAAAATATAGCTACTTATGTCACATCGCTTCCGTTCGACATCCTCGATAATTGAAACTTATCAATATAAATGTATCCAGGTTTCTACGTTACTAAATGGATTTCTGTATGTTATACGAAGCAATTAAAACAAATATAGACGCCATGACTATGTACAATGACACGTCGCGCTGTATGGTGCGTCATTTAACTAGTTTGTATGCAAAATTAACAGAGTTAGCGTAAGCGTGGAATCTCACGAGAGTCGCAACGTAGTTAGGTGAGACGAATTGAGCGGTCACCGTCGCTCTTCTTGATGGCTTCGACTTTGCCAAGTACTGCGTGGATCATCAGATGTACCCTCTGTTACTTTTACAACAAAAATTACTTTCACTAATTTGCTTTGTTATGTTTTTAATTTTATTTTTAGTAAGCGGTAACTCAGACATAGACTCAGAAATTTATTTTTTAATAAAAAGCAATTGGTAACTCTTGTATCATCTGATTACTATAAATATAACTCATTTGTCGGAAAAGCATTGTACTATTGGCGCTAATACATATGTTACGCTTTTACATGAGAGAAACCCTTTAAAAATCTAGTAGCATTGAAAAAGATTGACGACACGGGTGGGACTTGAAGCACCTACAGCGTTCCGTGCTGCTGTTCTAGCCAATTTATATCACAAAGAATATCTAATTTATATAACGCATCATGTGCAAAACGATTTTTTGTAAAGACATTTAGCTTTTAAATGGAAAGAATGTGAATTCTTAGTTGTATTTAGAAGTCTTAAAGCTAAAGATGTGGTTTTATCCGTGCTAGCAGCATATACTCACTCGTAGTTCTCTAGAGGTGGTAACAACACGCTAACTTGATTGTGGACTGACCACCGAATCTCTAAGTTGGACGCGTAATTATGTACCTTCATCTGGCTTTCCTATGAGGATGTGACTATTACTATAGACTGTGAACTACTGCTTCGTTGGTCTAATGGTTAGTTCACTCGAAAGCAGATCACGAATAACGAAATCTTATTCCGGTATTTGCAGTTTTTTCTGCAAATATGTCTTAATTAAAATCAGGCCTCAGAATCGTTAGAACCCAAAATTTTAAAGTGGGTAGTATTATCACCCCCAGGAGTCGGAGAGCTCGTTACGCCGTTGGTCCTGTTATTGTATTTGTTTTTGTTGCGGTAGTCGTAGTGGTTCTCGAAAGGATTTAACCTCGAGTCCAACGGTGGGATGTACGTAAAGAAAATATTCAGTTTTTGAATAAGTGTTCCGGCTAAAGTATCTAATACTCGAATAATGACCGCACACTACCATGTGTCCGTTTATAGATAACATTAAAACCAAGGAGATTGTTTACTTCCAAATTGTTAAATATGAAAATAGTTTTGTTAGTACTTATATCCATTTAGTCCAACTTTGTCCAAATAACAGCTATAAAAGCGAAAACAAATATTTGCCGACTCATCCAATCCATCACGGATCATAATAACACGCACTCAAATTAATACCTGCCTACAAAGAAATAGATTTGGACAAATACCGGCCGACGCTTAGGGGCCTCTACGATCTCGACCCCGGACGATATTTTCTATACGGAACGTTCGCCATTAACGCGATAGTAATTGTGATCAGAATAGCGCGAGTCCGTCGTAAGTCTGGTGTGTAAATTTATGCGCGTTGTAGTTCTTGAAGTTATGGTGAGTTAAGAAATACGGGCTTATTAGTGATGTTAATTTTTATGATATTTAAGGAAAAAAGTTTTCGATGGCATTTAGAGTGCTTTTAGAGAAGCGATATATTTACGCATAAACTACCGTTCCATTGTTCCTCGTTCGATAATTATACGGAGTAAAAAGTTATGCGGACAACACCGCGAGCGAAGGCTAGCTACTTAATAAAATTACTTGTCAATCTTAACGGCAATATATGATTTGCGAACAAAACCTGTTCGGCTTTGTACTGTAACCATCAACAAAACGATTTCAAACAGTTTTAAACTGATTTAATTTTCATCCATTCGTGAATAAATTGAGCGACAGATTTATACAATCATTATCTATTGAGAGACTTTGAAAGAACGTAATCCTTTCCTCGAATGTTCACTTCAAAGATTTACCGATTTCGTACAAAAGGTGCAAAATTGGTCGGCTCTATATAGGAGGAAAAAATACGCAAACGGTTTCATAATAAAATTATAGAAATGCTGTCTGTACTTTGTACGCAAATAGTACACATTTAAATAAAACACTTCAACGGTTTAAAACGTGAAATGTATTAGTTATACTTATTTACAAATTAATTCATTTATTCCATTTAATAGTACACCGGTACGGCGAGTCACCCCGGTCAGTTTTAGCCAACTACGCCGGAACAAAGGGCGCTAGCGC